TTTGATAAAAATTCTCGAATCGAGATATTTGAAGACAGTGGAAGTATGTACCTTTCTTCGCTTTCGATTTGTCCTGCAACACAAAAGAAGGATGAGCAGTCAATTTCTGTCGAACTTCGTCAAAAGTAGCATGACTACTCGAGAACCAATTGGCCCACCATTGAGAAAAACCCACAGTCGATAAATAATTTGATTAAAAAACATAGGGGTAAAAATGCATCGGGGTTTTTGGCAAAAGCTTGGCAAGCTCCCGTCCGATTGTTGATTCAGTTAATTTGGACCTTGGGAAGGTATCTAGGGGGAAGAAGGGTAAGGATTGACTCAGACCAAATTGTCTCGAGAAAAGTTGAGGGTAGTAAGTAATGAACTTGAAATCTTTGGACTGGAAACCCGATACTAGTACATCCTGAGTTAAATAGTTACTCCATACATCGACCAACTCTAATTGCAACCCAGGAGTCGAGGCAGGGAATTTCGACTTAAACCAAATTGGTCCCCTAAGTTTGCCACTTATGCATCCAAGATGTACAGTAAAAGGAACTAGGGTTGAATCGAAATTAAATCTGGTTAACAAAAAATTAAGGTATCTACAATAAGCCGCTTCATCGGGTTTGTGGTGAGGATGGCGAGAAGACAATCGGGCCCCTTCTATATTTACACTTGGGGGGATGGTAGAAGTTGGGGGAAGGATGCTCTCAAAAATCGAATTTAGCCACAACTGTATAAACCAAATAGGGCCAGAAAAATTTCCCGAAAATTTAGGAGTACTTAAAATTTCGACAGCCTCGTCGAAAGCAGTATATACATGTGCTAACAAAAATTTGGCTAAACATACTCTAGGTTGGCCTAGATGAAGGAGATATTCAAGGTCAAACAGATGGGAGGAAATTTGGATCGATCGGGGGCAGAAAACATGGGTACACAACCAGTACACCAAAAAGGCTATGTGCTCTTCATCAGTCACAGCTATTGATTCGTCATCGACGAAATGCTTCTCGAGGAAATGCCCATAAGCTTTCGATTCCCAATCGATTTTGGATCTTAGAGAATTATCCGAGGGGCATGCACCCTTAAAATATCTTTCCCCTATAGGTTCTAATCCAGTAATGGCCGCGACTTCAAAAGGGATGGGCGAGAGGGGACCGCAAGGTAATTCCAGGGCATGTATTTCCTTATTCCACAAGTGAACGGTAGCCAAAAACATAGCCATGTCCAAATGAGATAAATCACATTGGGACAGGTGCAAAAAATCGAAAATTCTCACGCTCCTCCAATGATTCCCGAATTTAGCTTTAACCCTATCGAACCATCTAATGTACAAAGGTTTTTTGGAAGGAGGGCCCGTCCGATACACCTTAGAGACAAGATTAAAAAAATCAACCCTAACTTCAGGTTGGTGTACAAGAGCTGGACTATTCGAGAGGTTGAGGGGAGAAAAAGTTCCATCAATAGAACGAAAAGGACCCCCAAAAGCGTAATTAACACCATCAGCAGTGTAAGGAATAAGTACCTGCGTTTCAGCAATTTTCCGAGAAGCTTCCTCCATCAGAGGGACTGGAGCGAACTTCTGATTGTTAATCTCCAACAGGTTAGATGCCAATGAGGGAAGAGGTGGAGCGAAAAAGTCAGAAGATTTGGAGGAAGTTGCCATTTCAGTAACTGGTAAAGTGAAGAAAAGCAAGGTAAGAGATGAAGGCACAGGGATGAAGACAAGAACTCAAGGAAGAAGATGAAGTTGCAAAGGGTAAAGGTTCGCGTAAAAACCAGAGAAAGACCGATGGAGAGGTTAAGGGGAAAATCACCTAGGGAGCTGGAAACGACGGAAGCGAAAGGCAATTAATGTGGCTTATACTGTAAGGCAGCAGACTGACGAGACATCGACATAAAGCAAAAAAGAAACCCAAAACCCTTTAAACCCTAGAACCCCAAAAACCCTAAGCCCTAAGTTTTGTGGGCCTCCAAACACTAAGGCGGGAATCGTGTTGAAAGAATATAAACATAAACTATTTATATTCTTCCAAGGGGGCATTTTGTTAGGAGGAAATCGAGAAAAGCGATCGAAAAATGAAAGAAATAAAAATCGAGAAACATGTGATTGATCGATAACGCGAAGAGGTGAATGAGAAATCATTCGATGTCCAATTAGAAGGGCGTGACACACAAAATCGAAAGTTAGAGTAGGAATCGAAGGAATAATAGTTAAAAGTTTATTGTGGAACAAACCAAGAAATTAGAAGTATATGATGTTAAGGCTAAAAGGAACCAAAAGTAATTCAAAGTTCTCGATAAAATTGAAATCGAGGGGAAGACTAACCTACGTGGATATCGAAACCCTGGCCAAATTGTGAAGGGAAGAACAGTCAAGCGCATATACGGGAAGCAGTTTCTAAACCATGGTAGAAGTTGAGGATCGTGAGAACGTGGGTACAGTATTGAAACCATAGAAGATAAACTGCAACACGCATGTAGAACGTGGTAGCAGTTTTGTTAACTGCTCCTGGAAGGTTTGAATGATGCCCTATAAATAGAGCAAAGGAGGAAGGAATAAGGGGCAGAAAATTGGCAGAGAACAGAATTAGTAGTGAGAAGTCTACCGGAAAATGACGAACACCATGAAGCTTCTGGCAATCTGGATTTCCATGCTCATCGAGTACCTTTACCGCTTTCTTTACTTTCCTTGGTAATTTATTTTGATGCACCTTATATTCAGCAATTTTATGTTTTTGTTCTTTCGATTCCTTGTCATTTCAATTCAATGAAAGTTAAGTTTCCGCGTTTAAGTTTCTTTGTCCTTTAACATTGATGCAATTTCGATTTCCGGTATATTTTCTGCAATCTTGACTCCTTGCCATTTACATTTCCGTTCTTTCGATTCCTTGTCATTTACATTTAACGTACTTTTAAGGTTTCCGCATTTTACGGGTTTCAGCAATTTAGTATCCTGTATTGTTTTTCGATTCGACATTTTATTACTTTCTGCATCTTAAATACAAAACACCAAAAAAGTAGCATTTTCGATACTTGGTAAGGTTCGATCCTCATACGCATTTCGATTGAAAATTAATTTGTTAGCCTAAGTAAAAAGAACTTACGTGGTAGAATTTTGATTAGTATCAAAACATCTTGGGGTCGAAATCAATCGAAATTCCACCAGAAACAGTAAGTTTGCTTATAAATGTGATGTGACCTTGATATGCAAATAAAAAAAATGAAGCCAATTCATGAAAATAATAATCATGCACTCTATTTTATGTAGATTGCAGCAAAAGGAAGAGAGATCGATAAAGAAAAGCAAAAAAAAAAAATGATTAGTGATATGAGAAAGTAAATAAATAAAAAGAAAGTGATTTGAAAATAAAATAAAAATGTATACCAGTGATTTGATTATTATTATTATTTATTAGTACATATAATGTACAAAATACTATAAAAACATATATTTTTTATCAGAACTTTTATACTATTCTTTTCCATGCCAAAAGGATTACTCCAAAACATGGCGCAAACATAATACTAATTAAACTTGAAGAAATTATAAAAGTGTTACATTTTGAGTATGTATTTAGCAATATAACAAATAGTTCGAAACATCATTTGAGTTTATATTAAATTTTGGTATTTAATATATTTTAAAAATATTCAAAAGCCATACATGTGGTATATGTCAGAGGATCATACCATGTTGGTTACGTATTCAATATGTCATCGTATCAATGTTAGGCAAAAGTTGTTAAGTTTTTTTAGAAGACTAAAATAGAAAAATAAAATAATTATAGTATTGTTTTCAAACCTAAAATTTTATAATTTATTTCAAATAAATTTTCTTCTTAAATTATTTTATGTTTGTCTAATAGTCCATACCAATTAAGCTAAATAAAAAAAAAAAAAAATATATATATATATATATATATATATATATATATATATATATATATATATATATTGGACCCACATTTATTCTATGACTAACATTAGAAGCGACAAATCCATTAGTATAAAAATGAGAGACAATTATAATTTCACATGGCTATTGACAAATGGAGTTAGATGTAAATTTAAATTTTAAAATAATAAAATTATATTATTTTTAACGGTCAATTTTATGTTAAAAAAAACACTAAGGTCTTACGTGGACATGAGGAATATCAAAAGATTGTGAGATAATGGAGGACAATATCAAAACTTCTAAAAATAGTAAAGTTCCAAAGAAAAAGCCAATTGGATGAACACAATGAAAAGAAACTCTGGTGCAAAAACTATGTTAAAGATTGCTCTTACAGGCATTTCGTCAGCTTCTATATTTTTTAACATTTTTATTATTAATTCTTTTAGATAAAGAACAAAATTTTAATATTTTAATAAATTTACATAAAAATCATTTGTTGTTAGAGATTAATTTATTTTTAGTATATTATCGATCAATAATATAAACTTGACATATTTATTATAATTGACATATTTATTATAAAAAATTATTATTATATAATTCACGATTTGAAAATATTAAAAAAAAAGTGAATGATATAATTTTACTTCTGTTATTGTTATTATTATTATTATCCATAAGTAATTTATTTTATCCGAAAAGAAATATATTGAATAGAAGATTGAAACCTAGAGGTGGGTAAGTGTATGGAGTGAAAGTAAGAAAAGAATATGAACATCGAAAGAGCAAAACTATCTCTTGCGATTCTTGTCGATGACAGACCCGACTGGAAAGTCAAAATGGAATAACCAACGAATTTGTTCCTTCACCACCCACGCCACTACCACGTCTACAAATCGTGTATCTTTCATCGTTCCGTGTTTTTACTTTCCTTTCCTTTCCCTCTCACTGCCACAAAATTGACACAATTCCGCAAAGGGATAAGCTCGGTTCGAAAGTGAAATAAACTACTCCGGATTGGGTTTTGTGTAAGAAAAAAAAAACATGATATTGATGGGTGTATCCCTTTGAGAAAAGATTGTGACTTGTAGAGGCGGTGACAGGGAATCGAAGGATGAGCGCAGAGGACGATGATCCAGAGAGGAAAAGATTGAAACATCGGCAAGAGAAGGCGTTGAATTGTGGTGTGAAGAATTTCCAGCGCGATCTGATGGCTGGGGCGTTGATGGGTGGTGTGGTGCACACGATTGTGGCCCCGATTGAGAGGGCGAAGCTGTTGTTGCAGACCCAGGAGAGCAATTTGGCCATTGTGGCGAGTGGGCGTCGCAGATTCAAGGGTATGTTGGATTGCATACTCCGTACGGTCAGGGAAGAAGGCATTCTCTCTTTGTGGCGAGGCAATGGCAGCAGTGTTATTCGTTACTATCCTTCTGTGGCTCTCAATTTCTCTCTCAAGGTTAGGTTTCCTCTTCATTCATATTTTCTGACACTTTTCCTTTTGTTTTGCTTATCTCGTTATGCATCAGAATAAACCAGATTCCTCCATTAGCTGCGTCCACAAGTTATTTCTTTGTGTTACCGCTGTTGAGGGTTGAACCGATATTGTTAAATCTAGAGGAATTGTTAGCAGCTATTATTTTAGTTTATCCTATGGCTATTATGTTGTGTCTGCTTTTGTGTCAAGTGGTCCTTGTGAGTATATGCAATTAAATATCATCTGTGATTCTGAAATACACCAAATTAGTCTCTAAAGTTACTAACACCCATCAATTTTAACTACACAAATATTATTTTGATTGGTGAAATTACCAAGATTGGTTATTTTAGTCCTTTTTCATTTTCTGAAATTTAAAGGACTAAAATGACAGTTTTATTGTTTCGGAAATTAGACTGATTGGTGCTTCTAACTTCATGGAATAATTTGGTGTGTTACTCAAAGAAAATTGCAGTTTCCTTGTACTTTTACCTTCTTTCTCCATTATATTACTTTTTTTATTGTATAAGAGGCTAGTTTAGACATTTATGTTGTGTTTGAAAACAAAAATAAATAACCCTGTTACTGAATTCAGCGGGTAACCATTTGGAACTTACATTTCTTGATGGTATTTTGGGATTCAATTGCATGGCATGGGCCTTGAGTTCTACATTAAAATTATGGGATTCGTGTGTGGGATTGATAAGCCCTTGGTTCTTTAACTTGAATGTCTAACTTTTGTGGTGGTTCTCCTAAGGTGCTTATTAATTGGTTATAGAACTTTTCAGAATGTGTCTCAGCTTTTTAAATGAATGACATTGGTGGTGACACCAACATTGCAGTGTTCAGCTGAAAGTATTAAAGGACACTAGTGCACAACCAATCTGTTGGGTGCATCGGATATGGAGCATGATGAGATGTTATGATCCAATTTTAAGTCATGGGACTTAAGTATCGCATAATTACATTGGCAGCATGAGATTCTAGTGTGGGGTTTATAGGTCTTTAGCTCTTCAACTAGATATTGTGGTCATGTTCTCCTAAGATTCTTAGCATAGTCTTTCTTCCCACCCTTTCCTGTGGTACAAAGTCTGTATAGTTTTGTATGCTAGCCCCAACATTACTGATTCACATATGGCCTGATATGTTGAATGGAAACTGTCATGTTCTCATGTCGTTTTCAGTTCATAAGAAAAAGGTACTATCATGACTTGAGAAGAAGAACAAAGAAAGCTGAATTCATCCATTATGTATTCAAACACCATTATTTGGATCCTTTTGGGTTTGGTTATCTCGAGAAAAATTGGGATGGAGGCTATGTGCAAAACTGTTGGTACACATACTGTTTGTACTAATTAATCAGCTGGTTTCTCACTTGTCAACAGTAACTGTCTAATGATGATTGAATCAGATCAGTTTCATCAAGTCTTGAATTCATATGAACAATGTTTGTTACTAAGAACCTTTATATTGTGCAATATGTGTTGTATGTTTCTGCAAACTCAGTTACTCTGCCTTGTTTTTTAGGATTTTACACTTCAATATTTTCCCTATTTAAACATTAAAATTATATTTAAAGCAATGTCAAAATCATATAGAGCAATGCTAAGTTATGATGCTTGTAAAATTGTAATTTACTTCCAATGTTGTGCTTCACTCACCATTCTTGTTGATATAAGATAACCATTATTTGTCCTTCACCAATTATAGTTTTTGTTTTCCTGTATAGTTAACAGATTCCTGTACAGTTAACTGTTTCTCATTTCAACTTTTTCTTTTCTTTTTGTTACTTCTGTTGTCCGTATACCCCCTCCTTGCTTTTTATAACTCCAAACATTTTTTACCCACATTTTCTAGGCTGCACTAGTCCCCTTGTATAATGTGTAGGATGAATTTTGACAAATATCTGTTGACATAGTGAGTAATGACACTAGAGAAGCGCTAGTATTCACAGCCTTCACTAATCAAATTTTTTTCGGTTATTTTTATTGTAATTCTTTTTTTTTTTTCATGTGCAATACCAAGGCTGATTGTTACTACTGTAATTCATTCCCTATCCTATGCAGTAGTCTGACCTTACTCTGCAAAGAGAGATTAAGAAGTAGAATGCAGTCTTTTATTGTGCTGCGCTTTATTTTCATAGCACTCTATCACTCTTTTTTAAAGATGTGCCTTTTCACACCTCCCTGCCTTTTAGATATTATCAGGGATTGTCCCCGGTACAGTATTAATGAAAACACCTTTTTTTTTGTACTTCCATAGATTTTACTGGACCTTTGTTTGGCTTTCTCTTGAATTGCATGATATTTTAATAGATGTTTCTGAGATTCTATGACTTTAACTTTCTGCATTTTTTAGCATTGAATTTGAACATAAATTACTCAACGACCAGAAATTTTTTATGAGGATTTTGTCTGTGTTTAGTAGAAAGCCTTTTTCAGTTCTTTTGGTGGGAGTAAGTCCTCTTTCACGAATTCATGTTGTGTATATACTTGTATATACCAATATTTTAAAATTATAATATGATATAAAAATACTTATCAATAAAATAGTTGACTCATTGACTCATTGACCCATTGTTCAGTAGGAATTTGATCTAGACACTAAAAAGTGGGAACTTCTCATCCTTTTTTATCTGAACTTGTGATGCACATATTCATTCATTATTTATTTGACTTGAAGTTTGATTCCTTGACGGTTAGAATTTCCTTTGTTTCTCCAGAATAATTTCTTGGTAATTGGCTTGTACTTCACATTACTGTGTTTGACTTTGTCTGATCAAAATTAATGGAATGTGTCAATACACTTGAGATGAGATAGTTAGACTATTTGAAGATCTACTCATTTAGTAATTTGGTTCTATTATTTTATTTAATGAAATTATTATGTAAAAGAAAACCAGGTAAAACTTAAATACAATTGTAGAGGTGTACAAACAAACTGAACCGAAGTGTTTTTATAAAATTATTTGGTTTGGATTGGTTCTATTCTTTGAGAGAACCGAACATACGAGTGTGAAAGAGATAACTGAACTGAACCAAATCCAAATAAACAAAACTGTTTTGGAAAAATCAACCAATCGATTTTATAAAATAACAGTTCGACATAACCCAATTGTTTTTATTCAAATAGTGAGGTTTGGTTCAGTTTTTTTCTGAAATCCAATCCGTGCACAAGCCTAACAGTTGAAGTTGGCTTTTAATCTCAATAAACACTGTCTTCATCTTGGCAACTAAACCCAGTCTGACAATTTTGATTGGAGGATAGTATCAACCATACTTTATAGTATTATATCTGAATTTAGTACCCAATACTTATAAATAGGTCAGGTCCAAAAGAAGAAAAGGGAATTGATGAATCCTGGGGTAGGCATCTGAGACTGAAGAAATTTGCTTCTTTAGATGCAAAACTAAGGCACTGTTCAGTCAGCTGAATTTTTGTAAAAAATTCCAGAATATATCTGTCTGAAGAAATTCCAAAAATTTTCTGAAAAATTCTATCCTGGTGCACTTTAAAGTTGCTGCTCTTGTTCAAGACCCACGATGTAGCTTCGTAATTAATGCAATTGTAGAGATTTCAAATGACAACAGTACTTTTATAGCAAATAGTAAAGAAAGGATTTAAGAATAAATTCTTGTTTAAGGTAACGATGGCATTAATAAGGATGTGACTTACATTATGTGAATGTGTAAAAGATGTATCTCGTGTTTGTCTGGAAATGACCAATCTGATTATTGACGCGTGAATAAAAATTTGGACTTTACAATTGTGTTTTTGGTGTCCTAAACTAGGGTTGAGATGAATACATGGAGTGCAATTAAGTGCTAGAAATACCAACCCAGCTATTACACTCTAGAATCAAGGTTAGTGATTAATAATTAAATTTCCAAAGAAGTAACAATCTTGGAAGTGTATCTTTGTTAGCTTTGCTATTTTCTGCTTCCTTTCCCCCTGTGATCCTTTATGTCCTCACATTTTGTGTGGTTCAGACAAAGGTGTTAAAAAGAGGATGACTGGCAGAACAACTTCACTATCTATCCATTCCATGAAATAGCACAAACGTTGGCATACTAGAATGTGTATTTATTTTTTCTGTTCTGCCTGTCATCAGTCACTGGTAGAACTGATGAATAGTTATAATGGAAGCTTAATATGTGATGATACAGTTAATGCAGAGTCTTGATATTGATAGATCGCCTATTGTGTTCCACAGGATCTTTACAAAAGCATTTTAAGGGGTGGAAACTCTTGTCGTAATAATCTTTTGCCAGGTGCCACTGCTAATTTCGCTGCTGGCGCTGCAGCCGGTTGTACAACACTTGTATTGGTATACCCCCTTGACATAGCCCACACACGCCTTGCTGCAGACATTGGAAGGACAGAAGTGCGCCAATTCCGAGGTATTTACCATTTCTTGGCTACCATATACCACAAGGATGGCGTTAGGGGAATCTACAGGGGCCTCCCTGCATCTCTACAAGGGATGGTGGTACACAGGGGCCTATATTTTGGAGGCTTTGATACCATGAAAGAGATTTTGTCTGAAAAATCAAAACCTGAGTTGGCGTTGTGGAAGCGATGGGTGGTAGCTCAGGCAGTCACAACCTCTGCCGGTTTGATATCTTATCCCTTAGACACAGTTCGTAGGAGGATGATGATGCAGTCTGGCATGGAACAGCCACTGTACAATAGCACTTTCGACTGCTGGAGGAAGATCTACAGGACAGAAGGGTTGGCTTCATTTTACCGTGGTGCGGTTTCTAATGTGTTTAGGAGCACAGGAGCAGCAGCTATCTTAGTCTTGTATGATGAAGTTAAGAAATTTCTGAACTGGGGAAGATTTTAACAGCGCCGACGTTCATTGATATCATTTTCATACCAGAGACTCAACTTCAATACGTCAACATGTTTTAAACCTTGAGGCTTAGGATAATTTTGTGAAGCACAGGTGAGCTCCATTCAGTTCATTAGTAGTGCGTCTTTGATGGCATTCCAACGCTAAGGCCACGTTACTTTTGTGCCTTTGCTATACAAATTTTCCATTGTAGTTTTCAAAACAGTGAAAGATCAGAAATTAGATATGATGAGAGAGGATTTTGATTCGTAACAAAACAAGAATTCTGGTTTTTTTTATTCTGCTTAAACATCTCAGTCATTGTTCTTTGTCTAATTTTCAATTCCAGATGTCTGAAATACTAAATTAGCACAACTATGTGCATCATTTAACAATACTACTAAAGTAAAATTCGCACAAAGACTTAATATCTTTAGAATTAGAATTAGAATATTGTATAAGATCTTTAGAATTAGAATATTATAAAAAATTTAGGAAATTAGTGAGAAAGTGAGTTAAAAAATTGAATCTTTACTCTAGTTCATGATTATGTCCACATCAAGAACCCACGCTAAATTAGTAAAATAAAGCTAGCAAAGGCAACAACACAGCCACCTTTACTGAAAGGTTAACAAAAAAAAATGTCAATATGTAGAAAGCCAGTAGTTACGTGAGATAAGAACGAAATAGCCCTGGAAGTGGTGTAAAGTAAGAGCAACGACACCAATGTGTCGAAAATAGATGGGCAGACGATTAATTGGATTATTATATTGGAGTAGGGATAGCAAAATGGGCCAGTCCGGTTTGGCCCGCCCGCCCGTCTTTGGCTCGCTAAACGGGCGAGTGGCGCTAGCTCGATATAGTCATGACGGATTGTAGACCTTGGTCCGTCCCGCCAGTGGCGGGTTACGTGGCTGACCGCCATAATTTAAAAAAATAATTTTTTTTAATAAATTTAATAATAAGATTATTATTTGTTTGTCAATAATTCAATATATATATATATATATATTATTTCAATTTAATAATATAAATCAATATATTATTTTAAGAAATTATAATTTAGAACAATAATAAAATTTACATAATAATAAATAATAACAAATATATATATATATATATATATATATATATATATATAAATAACGTTAAACTTATAAAATTTATATTTTTTATATTGAAAAATTCAAATACCTATATCTTTTTTATTTGATAAAACTTCATATTATACTTGGTTTAATAATTCTTATACCTTTAATTCAAGTAATAAGGATAAATATAATCGAGTACTTAGGATAAATAAGGAGAACGGGAGAGAATGTTATATTTCGAAAGGAGAATATTTTATGTGAGAATGAAACTTTTTTAATTCTCTTTTTAAAATTTTTAACTTTATATATTATCTTTATAATTAATTTTATTACAATAAAAAATTATTTTTTTATTAATTAGGCGGGCCGCGAGCTAGCCCGCCCATCCCGCGGGTTGGCCCGACGGGTTGGCGAGCTTGGCGGGGTGGGCCAAAGCGGGCTGGTGGGCTAAAAACACCAACCCGCTCCACCATATTATGGCGGGCCAGCCCGCCGGGCCTAGCCCGTTTTGCCATCCGTATATTGGAGCATGAACTCGAAAATTAAGTGTAAAATACCAACAGTTCCTTGTGGTTAGTTTAATGTTTAAATTAACTCTATAATTTAGAAATTTTGCACTTCAACTCCATACAAGTTGATTTCCTTTATCTAATGTCTTTTGAAAGAAAGAATTGCTCAACAAGACCATTGGTTGAAAGATAGTATAATTGTATTAACCGTCAGTGACTCTCTCTATTGATTAATCTTGTTCAAAATATATAATTATGAAAAATCCTATTGTTTAGTATAACACATTTTTATTGGATTGCATATTAGAGTTTCAAAGTAATGATTAGAAAATCATCTTTAGATGATAAAGTGCAATAATAATAATTAATTATAAAATCACCAATTATGATTGTCATTAATTTTAGATCTTGTAATTTTAATCCATTAATTGTATAATCCAACTGTTCTTGTTGTACTGTATTTGGTAAATTGCATTTTTCTTGCTGTAAAGATATAAAACCCATGAGGGTAAAATGCTTAAACAATCCTCTCTCTGTATCACTCTTAGCTGTCTAAATACCGGAGATGGAAAGTTAGTTTTATAAACCACAGAGACTTTGTTTGACCATTAAATAAATGATAAGGAGTTTTTGTTACTTAACCTAGTTAGATACTTCTTTTACACGTGCCCATAAAGTAAATTTGCAGAGTGATAGGGCACTGAAACTCTTAATCCAGCAAATGGCAAGACTCCAACAACCCCAAGAAGCAACAAAGTTTAAATGACGTAACCAGAGTGAGATACCCTAAAATTATCAAAGTGACAAGAAGTCACTAAAATAATGAAAAACAACATAAAGCTATTAAAGTTGTTTCATATACATGTAGCGTGCAAAGATTGCACACCTAAGTCACGCATTAAGTAAAAAGATGAACAAACCAGCCAAAATCTGCTTTGGAAACACAGAAGCAGAGTAAAGAAATTCCTGTAACCTTTTCATAATTGGGTATATTTCCCATAAGCACAGAATTTCCATGCAATATCTTAACTCTCATGGGAGCTTTTGTTTAACAATAATTACAACTTTATCTTGGTATCTCACCAAATGAAAATAAACATTAAATATTAACATTGGCTATTAAAGTAAAGTAAAGAAATTGCTCAAATAAAACATATAACCCACTATATATAGGGCACTGAGTTTGTCTTTTTTGCTAATTCAAAACTGTAAACCTCTCCTACCAAGTAAGCCAGACCCCTCAACAAAAACCAATAATGTCCCTTAATTTTGATATTAATGAATTTCAACTCATTCAATGATAATAATATCCTATAAAACTGTATAAGAAGGAAGTATCAGGTACATTTTAATCATAATTATGAATTCTAGATTTTGGAGAACAGTTTCTTACTTGAGTGTTTTACATATATCAGAGTTGATGACAGCTTCAAAATCATCTTTCCTCATCACAATACCTGTTAGATTCTGACATCAAGTATCTCCCAACTGTAAATTCAATACTACTTCGTCAAAGTCTTAGAACTCATTTAAAAGAATAATCTTTCTTGTCTGTTAACAAATCCTCTTCATTCTCACAACCTCAAAAATACTTGGTTTTGGTGAAATCATATTCACATTTAAGCTAAAATTGCTTCAACAGCGTCCACTCTGACCTGAAAAGTATTTATCTACAGAGACAAAATGTGATGAAAAAGCAGAAACATGCACCGGTGTTACCTTCACAACCACAAAATAATTAAAGAGGCTTTTGATGTTGGACTTCGCTTAAGAAGAGAGTGCAATACCTAAAGCCTAAGCATAATGGAGCATTTGATTATGACTTCTTCAGCCTAAAGCAAATGTGCAATGCGTTTTGACATTTTCACGTTCTGTACCCAATTGTATTTGTATATGCATTATAAGCATACTTGCATTTTAAAACCTTCAGTGAAATCTTCAATAATGTTGTGGAACCTCCAATTTCATACTTCTGTAAGCAAATGGAATCATTATGCTTACGTGAGACTCTTAGATTCTACAAAGATCCGCCATTTTTTTAAAACAAAAAACCACAGCATGCTTGCCACGTCCGAATTTGCATTATAGAAAGTAAAAAATTTAGAAAGTGAAAGACGCACTCACGCACTCTTGGATTGTCCCTGTAGTTTGTTGTAGTTGTAGTGGTTGATGTTGTTGATGTCATCACCTTCTGTCTTTTCCCAACTCAAAGGAGAAATAATTGGATCACATAGTCACATGGTAGAAAGTGGGGTTAGGATTTAGGACAGTTACCCTTAATTATCATCCACATACCTCCTCAATTTTTCTTAATTGGGAAAGGATTCTACCAAGCTTTGTTTGCTTTCCTTAAACTGTAACCTTTTGCTACCACCCCAGTATCATCCTGAGTTATTGATGATTAATTTGTTTTCTTAGTACTGTTTTCTCTTAATTGTATTAATACTTATTTTGAATGAACAACATTTATCCATGCTGTTGAGGAAGTTCATGATGCTGTGTTTACTGAACAATATAGCTTTGCACCAAACTGTGATTTGTTTGTTTATATACTCTAAAAAATGCTAGCTAGCTGTTATCATGATCATTCTTACCCAGAGTCTGCAAGTTTCATGTATTGTAAACATAAAAGGTTAGACATTTAGTTTGTAAATGCAAGGATGCCATGACGCAGAGACTGGTTTCTTGCTATGATGTCAATAATTTGATACCATTATTCTTACTCCTGCTTTAGCTTTGAATCTATTTATGTTTTTATGCTTTTGTGGGAGCCAATCAACTCATAATTTTGTATAATTTATGGTTATTGCCTTCACTAGTTAGTTTTCAATGTGAGATTTTTGGCAAAGTAAATAAAACTAAGTTACAGTTCCAAAACAAGAAAGATGGTTATGATTTTTTAAAGAAAAAGGCAATTTATACTGATGCAGTCAAAAAAAAGTCTAAAGAGATAACTGAGAATATTTTTCATCACACCAAAAGATAGACGAGAGAATAATCAGAAGAGCTATCATGCATCTTTAACCTATAGTTAAAATGTAATTTATTTTACATTATAAAACTTAATACATTTAATTTAATTCTTCCTACACAGTCTTTTATATATATAAGATTTCAAATATCACATGTAAATAGTTTTTTCAGATTAAATAATAATAATAATAAGGTATTAAGTAACTCACTGGATTAACAATAATTGTATTACTATAATTGAGAAAATTCATAATAAATTTATTAATTGACATAGTATTGATTTTAACAATTAGGAATGTGAGTAATTTAGATTGGATTTATTTAAATTTTTTTTATCAAACTAAATTAAATTTTTTAATTAGATCAGGTTGAGATTATCAATTTTTTATTTATTAATTCAAATCAATCTAATTTTATAAAATTAGATTAGACCATAAAATTAAGTAAATAAAAAATATTAAAAAATTGTCTCAAAATAAATACTTAAATATTTTTTAAATAATTATAAAATAATAAAAATACTTATGATACATATATAAATAATATTCATTAATAATTTATTAGATAAATAATAATTTATATCATATATTTATTATGTAATTGAATTAATTCTCATTATATAGGTTTTGTCAAATATATTGAATATAATTAAACTTAATCATATCTAAATATCAACTTGTAATAACCTTAACAGGCAAAGATAGACAAAGAATTTAACAAAATTTATAGGGAAGCTAACACGCAAGAGGAAAAGAGGAAACAACTGTGTATAAGTATAACTATACATGCTTTATGAAATAAATCATCAAATTGATTAACGAAACAATCATTAGATAAATTATTTATTTAAAGAAAAACTTATATTATTAAAAAAATAAACTTGAACATAATATATGTTAAAGTCTTGTGTAACTAGAAAGTAAATTTTAAATCTCATAACAATACAATGTTTTAGATATACACAGATTAACAATACAATATTTTAAATATGCACAAATTTGCAGAAATTTAGTTTGAGTAATGAAATATATAAATTTTTAAAACTAAATACATGAATAGTAAAAAAAATTACTTATATAATTTCATCAATTTATATTTAGAAGAAGTTGATACTTTATTGGAGATTAAAGTTTATTTGTGTGTAATAATTGGAGATGCATGGGTTTGTGAAAGATGTTTGTGTGCAACCTGCATTCATGATCATCTTTTCTAAAGTACCACTGTTGTGGGTTTTGAGAAGTGTTCCTCTTTTAAGGACTTAACCGCATATGGGACAACCAAAATGGAAAAGGCTATCATAGCATGCCTCACTTGGACGGCCATGGTGAATGACAGTGTCCGTTAGGTCCCACACCTCCAATGAAAACCAGGTCGCCATTATTATTTCTGATCCAAACAAAAACAAAAGGATAACCTAGAAACGATAAAAGCATACTAGGTATATAAAACAAAGTGTCATAATTTTAACCTAGAAATTAATAAATTTACATACAAGGTAAAAGAAAAAGAAAGAAAGAGAGGGTGTGGATTAGATAAGCTTAGGATTCCTGAAACAAACTGACAAAGTCACTGTCCTATTTACGGTCCCGATTGCCTTTAATTGTCAATGGGAACCAATCTACGGACCCGATGAATCTACTGGGTAGCATTTTGAAGACATATTAATATTACTGCTGTATTATGGTGTACACGTGTTATCTTGGATCCGTAAATTGCGAGTCAAAGCAAGGCTCACTTACTTCAATTCCGTTGTACAAGTTTCAATGACAACTCTGAAGAACACAAATTGGGATTTCATTTCACAACCCTGAATTATATTAACCATGTTCTTCTGGAAATAATAATCATAACTACTATTATAATATTAACTAGGTACATAGCTAACAATTGCAGAGCATGATTTAATTAAGAGGAGAAATATATATATATATATATATATATATAGAAATGGGACGATGGTTTATAGTGTAGAAATATGGATAGTTGATAATATATCTTGGATTGGGTTGTGTCATACCCAGAGAGCGCCTACTTGGACAAGTTTGGGGATGAGGTGACCGCTGACATGGAGGGCGACTAGAGATTCAAGACCTCCGATGCAGGTGCCGCCGATGAAGGCGGCTGGGGCAGTGGTGTCAGGAAGGGGGAGGGCAGTGATCTCGTTGTCATCTAATTCGATGACGGTGGGGTGGACTCCGATGGTGGCCAGGAGTTTCTTCATGACATGGCACATGCAGCAGGAGGATCGAGTGAAGATGATGACAGGGTGTTCTGATATGAGACGTTGGATTCGGGTCTCTGTGGACTCGTCCAGGTCCATGGATAGCGAGGAGGAATTGCTCATGGTAGGACTCAGCTCCACCTGTACCACGACGTCGTTTGAACAACACCCTATTCCTATGCCTTGCATCCCTTCACCTCACTGTTACTTGGTGCAGCAGAACAAGAGAATGGAGGAGAGAGTGTACTTTGTTTGTGTTTGTATGTGCAACTCAAAACATGAGAAAGCAAAGGTAAGGCAAGTGGATGGAGGATTATAATAGGTGGAACCGAGTTTGAGGCTGTTTTTATTTTATAAATCAGACACCCCAATTCGTGCTTCCTTACGTCACAAATTACTTTTCTTATTTCCTACAGCAATCGCTCCCACCACTCCACTTTATCCCACGCGCCCTTCTCTATAAATACCATTCTTTTCTCTCCTCATCATTTCTCCATTTTGTTCTAAGTTTACCCCTCTTCCTTGTTCGCACAGTGTAATCAATTATACTTTACTACATACAAATACAATCAAGTTCATAATAAATATAAATTGTAAAGATTGAAATCATCATAATTGACCAAAACTCAAATCACCCATATACATGGAAAGTGTAATGCAACTAATAAACTCCTATGAGAGGAAATTTGCAATGAGAGTATCAGAATCTCAAATTAATGCTTAGTTTTGATCATATGTACGTGTTACGCAATTTGGATTCGTCAAACAAAGATATTCGACTTTTTTTTTTTTTCTGTTAAAGTGTACTGATTGCTTTTATTTTTTAGTAGTTAAAAATAAACAATGTTTGAGAAGATGCAGAGCATAGCCATATTGTAGGTGAACATGTGTGTTCTTTAATTATATACATGGCGTAACATCAACTTTGATTGATACATTTTCTGTACGAAGATCTTTAGACTCCTATTACAGTGTTCGCGGTTGTGACACTTTAGTGAGTAAGGACATGCTTCAAAAAGACTTCTGCCATGTTAAATACATATCACATTCAATATCGTAAAACATGCAACCAGAAATTTAGTTTGAGAGATTAATTAGTTAAAAATCATGTATTATAATTAATACAAAAGTTATAATAAAAAATAAATTAATTAACAGATAAAACATTTTTGTTGATTATATGTTCACACTTTACATTTAAAATAAAATCTCCACTTTGTCATCAAGTGATTCTTCTGTATGGCAACAGGTTTAAGTTCCTTGAACGAGCAATGAGGTTTTAAACCAATGGGTACTTATATTTATTAAAAAAAATGCAAAAGTTTTACACATTCATACGAAAGTATTTTTATATGAGTTTAGTAATTATATGTGAAAAAAAAATAGTTTATATATAAAGTAATGTAGAGAAATTCTTTCATATAAATTTGTTCAAATATATCATTCTTTAACTTGTACATATATATTAATTTTAATATATAGACAAAATTATTACATTTTTCTTTTATTTTTTTCTTAAATAAGTATTTATATATAAAAACAAGTGCATTCAAACAAGATAATTATTAAATTTTCATTCGATGGATTAATTGAAGAATCTTCTAACAAAAAAATTAAAGAATAACGATAAAATATCAGTTAATGATATGAAATATTTATAGAGCTACTATCTTGTATAAGAAATTTAAAATTAACAGCTAAACTGGTTAAATTTATTTTTGAGAAAAATATATTTGAAATTTTGTTTTATTAAATTTGAAACTTTTTATTGTTCTATTATTGCGATGCTGTACATAGGTGAAGAAGAAAACTGATTGTTTTGATTGGAAAGAAATAAAATGACGAGACATTAGATGCAAATTGCATCATGGTGGATTGGTCAAATGCTCTCTCTGTGTACGAAGCTGTGTTCATGATTTGATTTAAATTCGTTTTGGAGTTTTTTTTTTCCTATTAGATCTCATATTAAAGAAATATACGAGTGGATTCTATTCAAATAATCTGAAAATAATAGTAAACAATAATATTTTTGAAGCTATAACTCACTTTTTCATTTCAATTTTAATTGAGTCAATTATTATTAATTTTAAGAGATAATAGTTTGTTTTCAGTTTTCAAACAATTTAAATTTATTAACACTTATTTTACTGAGGTGGTAAAAAGTTAATACAAAAATTATCCTGAAGATTTTAATAAAAAATATTTCGTTTAAACTATGTGAAAAATAAGAGAAAGAAAATATATATTTATAATGATAAAAGTATTGTGTATTAAAAAGTGTGTAAAATTACAGGTAATTTATTGTCCTGTCCCTAGAATAAACAAATTGCTTCATTAATGTGTTGCCTTTGACTGTGTTGCGGTCCCTTTCCTTTTTTTTTTTTTTTTTCATTTTCTGTTCACAATAAATATATATTTATGTTTTATTTGAACGAGTTAATAAAAATTGAGAGAGTGAACAGAATTATAATTAAATGTGTGATTATTTAAATTAGATGAAAAATATATAAGAAAAAGGAGTATAAATTTTAGAGATGTGTTATAATTGATTTAATAAAAGTAAAAATTAAAGTTGTAGTTGTTTTTTAAGGAAAGTCCAGAATATTTTCTAAGTCATATTTTTGTTCAACATATTGTATCACTTATAATAAATTATTTAGTCTTTTTATGAAAATTCATAATATTTTAAATTACACATAAGTACATCTTTAGTATAAATTGTTTAGAAAAAAATTACAAATAAAATATATCATTTTTAATGTGAATATCATACAGAGAACTGTTTAAAACAATTGATTTTTTTTTCCTACAAGTAATAATTACTTGAGATAAATATTCTAAAAAAAAATCTGTGAATATGTTGTCTAAATTTAAAGGTGAATTTGTAGACATATGAACGAATGAGCATGAGTGAGAAAGTGCAGTTTGACTTACAAAAATCTTAAGTCATACATACAACTCACACAACTAGTATCTTAAATCTCTTATTAATAATTTTGTTTGATTAAGTTGAATTTGAAATAAGTTGTGTAGTTTTATCGTTGAGAATTTGTTGAACAGTGTAGAAATAGTTTGAAACGATTACTGAACACCCCTTTGGTGTACTACCCAAAACAAAAAATCATGCTTATAAGAATAACTTTTTATAGAAAAGAAAACAAGTTATAAGTTCATCAAATGAATGCATTGCACTCAGCTTTAATGGATTTGACAGTGGGTGGGTTGAATTGCAGGACTTTTGATTAGTGGCTGTTTTTATAAGTTCTAAATATCGACACATCTCATGTTCGATACTCTTCCATTTTAATTCTGTGGTGACTCCCAATGACTCAATCTCTAAATTTATGGAATAAACAAATCTTGTGGATCTAACTTAATTACTTAGCATATGTCCCATAAAGTGGATGTCACATGTCATGGTTCCGTCCAATAACCAATGTCTGATTCCTCCTATTATTGTTTCCAACAATACCCCATTTTTATTTATTTATTAATTATTCACCTGTGTATGCTCCTTCCATCTCCATCTTCTGCTATTGTAAATTTAGGTTCACTTTTTCACTCGTTATTATTTGGAAAAAATATATTTTCATTATTTTGTATGCATACTTGTTCATTAATGCTTGTCGGCGCCGTTGAATAGATATATTACTAATTTATTTCCATAAAATATTTTCTATTATTATATTTTGTTAAAAAAAAAAGTCATTAAATAATTTAGGGTTGCATGTGGGTGACGCAATCAAATGCCTAGATTGGCACGTGGGTGACGCAATCTGAGCAGATTGTACGGTGTCGTTTGCTTAGTTTAACTAAGATTAGTTCATTGTCTGACTTTGTCTGTTCGATTCCTGTAGTACTGTCATACAATCAATAATTTTCCACAAAACGTAGTCCACATTCTTCAAAGAGGTATAGTGCTGTCACTTTGTGTTTCAAAATTTAAAAACATTTTAAAAATAAATTTAAACAATAATACTATCATATGTTTAATTTTAGAATGACAACGAATAATTAAACTTTATAAACCTATTTTATATTCTAAAACCTTAGTAATTTTAACTACCATTCTCATAATACTTTACATTTTAAGAATCAAAACTGTGTTTTACCCGATAATACCCAATCTTTTACCTTTAACTCCTGCAAATCTAATTATTATGTTGCGAGGATGATAAGCATCATGGCACGTATAGGTATTGTAGTGAGTGATTTTTCGGTTTTTTACAGTAATGTTTTAAAAAGAATTTTTGATTGAAGTATTATAATAAAAAATATTTTCTTATAAAAAAGGTTGTTAAATGGTTATATATGAAAAAAAGGTGTATTGTTCAATCATTGCATTTCGCGTGATATGTGTAAATTAATATAAACGCACAATGAATATTGTTGGATTAATTTTGATTAATAAAAATATTTGTATAGGAGTTAGTATTGAGAAAATTTGTGAATAGCTTTTATTTAATAAAAATAAAATTGTATTTATATGTCTAAAGTTGATTTGGTACATGTTCAGGGTGGAAGTTGAGTGACTTACTACCATTTCGTTTGAAAGTTAGGGAAGAAACAAGACAATAGAGAAATAAGATAATTGGTCAAGCCCAGTGATACAAACTGAAATCTCAAGCCAGTTTGATAGGGCCCATTCGTAGTCATCAAAGTCAATTACTTGCTTCACCTCGTGTTTTCCTATCTGCACTACAGCATACAATTGATATAAAAAGTACCTTCACTTTGTACTTATCCAAATTTTCCTCAACTGAGTTAATAACAGAATCTTAAAATAATATTAACGTTGAAAAAAATTCGTGTTACTAACTATTTTTATTATAGAATCTTTGCTTTCTGATAAAAAAAAAAGTTTAATATTTTTAGTTGAAGTATTATGATATATTGGTGGTTTTTTCGTTGCGTAAATTGGTAGGTTCCTCTCGTGCAAACTAATTATTTGTTTGATAAGCATAATATATTCCAATTTTATTTCTTCTAACTCACATGATATTTATATTCATCTTATTTTTTCCAATTATCTAATTTTCTCATGTGCATGTGCATGTGCATGGAACAAGACCATGCAAAAGAGCAATAGTATTGGGAGTATTCATGTTTTTTCTTGAGGAAGAGTGGTTTTGTTAGTGAAGTGACATGGACAACGTCATTTTTGGCAGCTGTGACTACAATTTACACGCGTCCCTTCCATTTTGAAAATATATTTTCGGTGGAAGCAGCCGATAAGTCGAGAAGTTTCCAGAACTTTTACAAAATATCTTTGGCACAGGAAAATGACAAATGGCAGAATCTTCTCACACTCTTCAAAAATCTCTTCTCCTCTCCCTCTCTCTCTAGAACCTTCCTTCTCTCATGCCTTAAATTCCTAATTCTCTAAACCCCAAGTAATCCTTCCTTGGTTCATACATCGCAATCCACCGAACCTCTTTCTCACTGATACTTATAGTACACACTTCACAGCAGAGAGACACAGTTTCCATTTTAAGAAAATGAAGGGAGTTGTAGTGAAAGAGGAAGAAACAATACAATTTGCAGCTTCTACATCTTCGTCTTCATCCTCAACTTCCAACCTCTCCCCGCAACCCATGGAAGGGTTGCACGAGGTGGGTCCCACTCCGTTTCTCACCAAAACCTTCGACGTTGTGGAAGACCCTTCCACCAACGACATCGTTTCCTGGAGCAGAGCGCGTAACAGTTTCGTTGTTTGGGACTCTCACAAGTTCTCCACCACTATCTTGCCTCGGTACTTCAAGCACAATAATTTCTCCAGCTTCGTCCGGCAGCTCAACACCTACGTAAGCATTTTTGTACCTAACTTCACCTCGTACAGTATGTATTCTTAAAAATTACAATTTTTAATAATTTCTAATCAACAATTAAGAATGTTCTAAATGACTGTGTTTGAGGGTATCTTAGAAGCATTTTTTTTTTGTTGGTTTCTATTATTTGAACTTGAATTCTAACTTGAAAAATGGATGGTAACAACTTACATTGGTGGGTGCAGGGTTTTAGAAAAGTTGATCCTGACAAATGGGAATTTGCGAACGAAGGGTTTTTGGCTGGACAGAGGCACTTGTTGAAGACGATCAAGAGAAGGAGGCACGTGACACATACACAGTCACACGAGGGAGGAAGTGGGGCTTGTGTTGAATTGGGGGAGTTTGGATTGGAAGGTGAGATTGAGAGGTTGAGGAGAGACAGGACAGTGTTGATGGCTGAAATTGTGAGGTTGAGGCAACAACAGCACAATTCAAGGGAGCAATTGCTGTCCATGGAGACCAGATTGCAAGTCACCGAGAAGAAACATCAGCAGATGATGGCTTTTCTTGCTAAGGCACTCAACAATCAGGCTTTTATTCAGCAGTTCCTCCACAGGAACGCACAGAAGATAGAGTTGCAAGGTGCTAAAAGAAAAAGGAGACTAACTGCCTCCCCAAGTGTAGAGAATTTGCAGCAAGATCCTGTCATTGATGTGGTATTGCCAGTTGAAGAGGAATCCGCAAGTATTGAGTCGCACATGGAGTCTCTTCTCTCAGCTGTTTGTGACGATGATCCATTAGAATCAAGCACTGAAATCGAAGACCCGATTTTGAGTTCAGTTCCTACTACTGGTGGTGGGAGTATGGGGGTGGTGAGTGATGCAATCTGGGAGGACTTACTGAACCAAGACTTGGTTGCTGCGAACGAGGAAGTTGTGATTGGTGACTTTTCACAAGTTGATGTTCCTGTGGAGGATTTGGTTACAGAGGCTGATGATGAGTGGAGTGAGGATTTGCAGAACCTTGTGGATCATCTGGGTTATCTTGGATCCGTTGAAAAAGATGATACTAATTCTAATCTAGAATAGAATATAAAATATTAGATGATATTATAATTACTAATTACATATCACTAATATCTTGAAAGTAATATCTAGATGTTTGAAATTATAAGTTAATAATTTTAGAATTAAAAAAACCTAGAATTATGTAAAATTTGTAGAATCATGTAAAAAAAATATATGTATTAGGAGAATTTATGTGTACTAGTAACATGATTCTAGAAAAAAAAAAAAATTTAGAATTAAGAAAATATAGAATTATGTAAAACTTTTATAATTATGTAGAATATATATATATATATATATATATATATATATATATTTTAGTGGAAATTACAATGTGGTTTTAGATAGAAAAAAAAAGAAAAAATGTGAATATGTGTATGATTCTTGAGTAGAAATAATATAATTGTGAAAAAAAAAGAAGAAGAAGAAATGTGTAGAAATAGAATAGTGTAGAAATATAATAGTGTAGAAATAATGAAATTAGTAGAAAATTTTAGAATTTTGTAAGTAAAGTCTATTTAAGGTAATTTTTGTATGTGTGAAAAATCTAGTATAAGTTCCTACATATCTTGTAACACTTTTAAGATCAATTATTATTTTTTCTTGTACAAATTTTTTTCTTATTTGTCCATCTTTTTCTAAAAATTATTTTCTACACAAATCTCATTACTAAACATCAAATTAGTGGTATCAGAGCTATGTTCAGTCACCTAATGGGTGTAGATAATTTTTTTTTACTACTTTAAAAAACTCAATTCCACTACACATTACTTCTAAAAGAAAATTTTCAATCTATGGTCACTACCAACCAAACATCATCCATTCAAGTTCCTATTTTTAAAAGAGAAAATTATAATTTTTGGAGAGTAAAAATGAGGACATTTTTTTGTTCTCAAGATCTTTTGGATGTTATAGAAGATGAGTTCATTATTCCAGAAGACATCTCAACTCTTACAGCTGCCTAGAGGAGCGGAAGGAAAACAAACAAAAAGATTCAAGGATATTATTCGATGACACTATTTTTCCAAGAATAATGGGCGTCACAAGTGCAAAGGAAACTTGAAATACAATTCAGGAAGAGTTTCAAGGAAACGATGAGGTACACAATATTAAACTCCATTCACTAAAAAGAGAATTTGAGTTAATAAGAATGAATGAATTTGAGACAATAAAAGATTATTATTCTATAATAAAAATAGTTAGTCAGATGAGAGCCTATGGGAAAAATATTCTTGACAAGAAAATTGTTGAGAAAATTCTAATTTTTATTCCTCAAAAATATGATGCAATTGAAACTGCAATTGAATAAACAAAAGATTAATCTACATTATCGGTGACACAACTAATAGGCTCTCTTGAAGCATATGAACAAAGATTGAAAAGGCGTGAAGAAGACTCAGTCGAAAATGCCTTTCAATCAAAACTAAAATTACGGTCTCAAAATGGAAGAAATAAAATTAATAGAGAACTTTCTAAGAATAAGAAAAATTCTAGAAATTTTTCCAAGACTATTCAAGGAAAATATCCTCCATGTGGCACTTGCAAAAAAACAAGTCACTTGGAAAAAGATTGTTGGCATCGAGAAAAACCTCAATGTCAATACTGTAAGAAATTTGGACATCTAGAGAAAATGTGTCGCAACAAAAATCATCAACAAGCAAATTTTGTCGAAGAACGAGACAGAGAACAACATCTCTTCTATGCTACGGGATGTTCTGACAATGAATCAAAAGGAAAATGGTACTTGGACAGCGGGTGTAGTATTCGTATGACGAATGATCCAAACATCTTCAAAGAAATTGATAACTCCATCAAAGTTCAAGTGCGATTAGGAAATGACAATGTGGTAGAGTCAAAAGAAAAAGACAGTGTTATAGTGGAGATCAAGAAAGGTATGAGACTTATCAATGATATCTTACTAGTTCCCAATCTTAAAGAAAACATCTTAAGTATTGGTCAAATGATGAAGAAAGGATATACTCTTCACTTCGAAAGAGATACATGCATTATCTATGATAAGAAAAATATAGAGATTGACCAAGTAAAAATGGAAAAGAGAAATAGAAGTTTTCCTATAAGTTTCAATAGAGGAACTAACATTGCTATGAAAATAGAAGTTGATGACCTGTGGCTATGGCATCGTAGATTTGGCCACTTCAATATTCTGCCTTAATCAACAACAGAAGCAGAATACGTAACTGTTGCTGAAACTACAAGTCAAGCAATATGGCTACGAAGAATACTTGAAGAAATGGGCGAACCACAAGATGGACCAATTACTATCTATTGCGACAACAAATCAGCAATAATAATGATGAAGAATTGTGTTCATCACTAAAGAACAAAACATATAGCTATTAAATATCACTTCATCAGAGAGGCTGAAGCGACTAAACAAATTCAACTTGAGTACTACATTACAGTAAGACCAAATTGCATACATATTTACCAAGGCACTACCAAGAGCCAAGTTTGAATAATTACATTTCATGCTTGGAGTTACAAGAATTTGCATCAAGGAGGAGTGTTGAAAGATGATATAAATTCTAGAAAGATTTAGAATATAAAATCTTAGATATTACTAGAATTAGAAATTACATATGAGTAATATCTAGAATCTTTAGAAGATTCTAAAACTTATAGAATTATGTAGAAAATATATGTGTACTAGTAGAAGCTACAACATGATTTTAGAAAAAGAAAAAAAGAAAAAATATATAGAAATAGAATAGTGTAGAAACAATGAAATTAGTAGAAAATTCTAGAATATTATAAGTAAAACTTATAAATAGGGATAAAAGTAGTCTTTGTATATCTTAAAAATATAATACAAACTCCTACATTGTAACACTTCTAAGATGAATTAGTATATTCCCTCTTACAAACCTTCTCCTATTTATTTATCTTTTTCTAAAAATTATTTTTTAGACAAATCTTACTGCTAATCATAAATTATCTTTATTATCTTTCCTAAAATCCTAACAGGATCCAATCCGTAGTGTACTGGATAAAATTGTTGTCATCCTGCAGTTCAGATAAACATTCCCCCTTGAACTATGGTGGTATAATCTCACGAGGCTTTATTGCTTTTGTTCAAATCTGTGGGTTGATAATTTCTGTGATTGTAATTGATGTAGCATACGAATGATTTGATATGCAGCAGGGAGGGTGGTTGCTGCAGAAGATGTCGTCAGATGTTGATCTTTATCTGTATCCTTTGTAAACAGACATGTGTTTTGTGAATAGCTGAGTATTCATTGTACGAGTAATGATGATGCTAATTTTGACTATTGTTACCCCGTTAATAACTACATGGTACTTTTTGCAGGGTAGATCAGATTGATAGAAGAAATAACGAATGGTAATTTGTTGGATTACCAATTTTTCATGTGGAGAGAGGGAGAATATCATTAACTATTCCCTGCTCTTCTGCCATCTCACCTTGTTTACTGTACATTGAATAAAAAAATAAACATTGGTCTGGTTTTATTTTAATTTTAATTCAATATTTTTTATAAAATATGTGCCTTTAATGAATAGATAGCATGCAGATGAGATGATGAAATTTAGTTCTTATATATTATATTACTATTTTTGTTAAGGGTGTCTTTTTGTATTTACATAGTTCTTATATATTAAACTCAATCATGAACATCCTTCATGTCCAACCCAATTCTCCAAACCTCACTCACAGATCTATTAATATGTTGAGTTTCATCCACCAATGGCCTCTTGGGCCTGCACCTCTTTTTTATGAGCCAGCCCATCATTTTCCCATTTTAATTGTCTAATATTTCTGCTGGGCGATTGTCCATTTCCCAATTTAGAGATAAGTGATTTATAAAATATTTAAATTAACACATTAAAGTATAGAGAAACACATTAAAACGAAAAAATATATAAATTTTCCCTTCATCATTATAATCATTTTGAGTCATAAGCGTTCTTAGCATCAATATGCACTTATATTTCAGAATCGACACCATGATGAGTTAGAGGTTAGGATAATTTAGTGTAAAAATTAATTGAATTTTAAAAATGATAATGTGATTGTTATGAAAAAGAAAGTCATTTTCCTCCAAAGTCAGAGCTTAGAAAATGGGATCTTTTGTCATAGGTGGAATTTGACGGAGAGGGGATGAACTTGGCCCCCTGATATCATTTTCTTACTTTTTTTTTATTATTATAACCAATATTTTACTTCATTTACTGTACGATTTATTCACCAGATACTTTTGTGTAAAGAATATATTTTGTCTGGTTTATCTTTGTTCTTTAGAATGATCGAAATATGAACATAATACAAAGTTTTATAATAATTAGAAGTTATTTAAAGCATTTTTATATATAAATAATAATAATTTTGGATTTTTTTAAATATTCTGAAATTTTAATAATTTAATTATTTTATAGAAAATCATTTTTTATAATTTTAAATAAAATTTCTTTGATTTGAAAATAGTAGAAGAGAATACGAAAGGATTAATATCTTTAACTCATTTTATTTTCGTGTCTTTCAAAAGAGTTGGAAAGAAGAGAAGTACAAAATGAATATTTTATCTTAATTGTCCTCTACTCTGTTACCTACAAACTAAAACAGTTAATTACATTTTCATTTATTTTCTTCATTATGTATAAAACAATGATTAAAATATAAGCATTAATCACCTTAACAATATGTTGATAGACAACACTTGAGTGCTTGAAATAGAAAAAAATATATAAATAAAATGGCTGCAAAATAGAAAAATAAGGGGTGATATAATAAAATAAAATATTAAATATGTAAAAAGATAATTCAAATTTATCAAGATAGAAACATAAAATTAGTTAATAAAAAATTAAAATTTCATTTTTTTTCCTTCTCTTTCGTTTTACTGTTCAAGTTACTTTTTTTTATTTTCAAAAGGATTTATTTGATCTCCTAAATTTTAAATAATATTTAATATTATCTTCGTATTTGTGAGAAGTTTTATAATATGATTTAAATATTTATTAGACTATTTTATATATTATTAATTAATTTTATATTAAAATATTAAAATTAAAATATATATATTTTAATTATTTTCAATAAATTTCCTTAAAATATATTTTATCGTTAGAGGTATTGTTAAAAGTCTGGCAGGGTATTTTTATATCGTTTGATTTAAATACATATTATGTTAAATTTTGAAATAGAAACTTCACCCTAAAAATGGACAGTAGGAGGGCACTATAACCATTTCACAAAGTCAATGGAATTAGGTAAAATATATATTAAAAAAAATAGAAAAACCATTTTGAATAAGAAAACAAAAGTAGATTACAATTCTGGATACTTTTTAACATTAGAAAACTCTATTTTCTTTCTATCGTTGACAACAACCCATCACAGAAAGAAACCATGTAATATTATTTGAACAAGATATTACTGATATATCCAAAGTTTATCGACGTAATTTTTTTAATAATAAAGAAGATTAATTTAAAAGTAAAACTAACAAGAAAACTGTGTATAATGTCACAAAACTACAAGAGGTATAAATTTAATTTTCTCTGCAGATAAAAAAAATACTCTAAAGTAATTTAACCAAATAAAACATTATACTGTATCTATCTATGTTTTCCTCTTGCAAGGTAAATGAACCTTCCTTTTCTGCTCTTGATTTCTTCACCTCTCCCTTTCTCTTGAACAACTAAAGAAGAGAACTTTATCTTGTTCCCCCTTTTGCTGCCAAACAGATAGTGTTAGGCATTCTTGGGTGATGAATGCAATGAACCGAGGAAATAGCATACTATATATATATATATATATATATATATATATATATATATATATATATATATATATATATATATAACAGAACCTTATGTCTTCAGTTTTCACCAGGAATCATGAATCCAATACCCACTTCAAAATTTCAATTCCAGACTGCAACATATCCAGGCCTCGTAAAACAACATCTTCTGTCTTCAATGGATCATTCTAACCAAAATATTTCACAGAATCTCATGCCACTGACACAATGGATAATGTCTATATCAATTATCGCAAAGTTCTATGAATTTATATCTTCATTATATATATAATAAACGATTTTTTTATTATCTATAGTGGTTATTATATCTAACACGAATAAGATTCTCTGATGAAAATACATATTGTCTGTTATGAAATATATAGTACGAATATAGAGAAGTAGATTGTTCGTGTTTCAATCAAGAAAATAAGCAGCCAATTATAATGTTTAAGAATGAATGCTATAAGCAATTATTATACACTTTAAACCATGGCCAACAAAATAAGATAAATAAAAATGTATACTTTTTTTCACAGAATATTATATTATAAATCATTTACTTTTCCTGGTTAAAGAAAATTTCTCAGTCCGTCATTTTTCTAATGATGTGTGTGTGTGTGTGAATGGTGTTCTGAATTGAATCTGTCAATCTGGGAGTGAGTGCTACTGATTGTCGAAGGCCATGATGCAGTTTCTGGAGTCTATAAGAACTCTGTACATTGTGTGAAGAAGTGGCTTGAAATATTGGACTGTGGTCCAATAATGATAAATTAAGGTTGATGAATGTTGTGGCAGCACGTCATGTGTTTGTTTAAGTGGTGAAGATGAGGTCAATATAGTGGTTTAGAACCATATATAATTTCTGAATATCTTATTAATAATGGACTAGGGATGATGAGGTAATGCTAGGTCATGATATATAAACTATTCTGATAACTGTGAGTGGCGTATATTCAAACAGCATTCACTGATTCCACAAGCATAAACGTTGATGAAAACGATCAAAGTAGAAGAGGTTTGGTTCATGTTGTATGTTATCCATGTAGCTAGTTATAATCTAAGGATAAAGCAAGCAATAGTACTATGATTGTCTTACTCAGCAATCGCTCTCGTGATTAAACACTAGCTCTCACCACGCCTCGATCATTTTCACGGTTGGGTATAGGAATAGGATGCATAGTGGATAGTGTGTGTGTGTGTCCGATTCAGGTGAACGTGCGCTTATACCCCCCACACTCAACACATGCACGAGCCTTCTCAGTAGGTATCTTTTTCCACGGAAAATGATGCCTCGCTATGCTAAACTATTATTTTTGCCTTCCCATGAAAACCATAATTTGTTAATTGCATAAAAAATAAAAAAATAAAGAAGATTTGGTTTGATTATCTGACGAAAAGAATGAAGAAAGAAATGGATTGGGTACAAGGGTATCTAATTCCCACATGTCATCATTCACATATGGACAAAACCCCATCTTCTTAGTACCTCCAATTCCTTAATATAAGCCTCAATCCTTGAAACATCAAGAGTAAACTCAGGAGAGTAGAGTCCCCCCACTCCCCCTCAAACCAACCAAACTTTCTAAACCCTCACTCCCTTTCCTTCCCATTCCTAGCTATAGATACTGTTGTTACAACCAAATATAGTATTAATAAACACAAAGATACATACATGGTGTTCATGGATTTGGAATGGTTTTTTCCAATTCAAAGTGTCCCTTCTGCCTCAGCAATGTTCACCCTGCTGGCTTTGATAGTAGGATTGTTGGTATATCTGTATGCACCGTATTGGGGTGTAAGGAAGGTTCCAGGCCCACCATCTCTGCCTCTTGTAGGACACCTTCCCTTGCTGGCTAAGTATGGTCCTGATGTGTTCTCAGTCCTTGCCAAGCAATATGGTCCAATTTACAGGTTAGTTTACTTTTATGTATTATCTGTTGGTGCAACATTTTTATATATAATTAGTTAATTGATTGATGATGTGTTATATATATATATATACATATGTTCTTTTCCTTCCCCTTCATTGGATTGGTATAAGGAAAAGGTTGTTACTGTTGATTGGATATCGATCTTGTGTGTGTGTCCATTCAAAGGCCTCAAACTCCTTTTGGAGGATGATCTTAAACAGAATAATGGGAGATAAATTTTGACTTTGGATGGTTAGTTTTTTGTGTGTTTTGTGTGTGGTTTGGTGTGGTCGCTGTCTCTATGCCCCAGAAGAAATAGATATAAATTTTAAAAAAAGTGTTTATTATATGATCCAAATGTCGGCTTCTGTTTTGTCGTGTCTTTCTCAACTCCAGCCACCAATAATACCAAATACTAATTCTTTAATATACTTCTTTTTTCACTATTAACTTTTAAATGATAAAACATGAAACCCATTATTTTTATATACTTAATCAATACTTCTTATTTCTCTTTTTCCTTTTGTAATCGTTTATTTAACTTTTGATGACTATGTAGAAAGAAAAATTATATAAAATTAAAATGATAGATGTAAATGAAATAGAAAATAATAAAGATAGAGAATTAGAAATAAAATGAAAGGAAAAATGAGATGGAAGATAATAAAGGCTTTGTACGAGAAACAAGACCATATGTTGTATTTTTTTTATTTGAGGTTAAAAAAAGTAATCTATTTTATAAAAAGGAAAGATTTTACAATGTGTGTTTTTGTGGAATCAATTCAGAAAATAAACTATGCAGTGACGCATGAAATAATTGTACAGTTTAACCTACGTAAATAAAAATAGTGGTGTGAAAATATATTTAGGACTATATGAAGGTTTGAAAAATAGGTTAAGGTAAAAAAAAGAAAATTAATATATTTTATAAAATAATAATTATTTTTGAAATAAAAATTAAAATGATATTATTTTATTATATATATATATATATATATATATATGATAAATTAATTTGATAAAAAAATTATTTATTTTAATATTAAATATTAGAATAAGTCTTTCATCATCACTTATTATAATTAATATCTAATAGTTGCAATTGATTATTTTTAAAAATATATTATTTATTTTTATTTAAATATTTTTTAAATTTTTAATGAGGTCAAAATTAATCCATTAGCTCATTAATCTAATATAATGTTGAATATTCTAATTATAAATTTATTATTTTTCAATAGTTATTTTAAACATTATATTAAAGATAATATAATTAAAAAAAATAGTTAAATAAAATATTTATAAATTTATTTATCCAAACTAGACATGTTGACGGTTAACACACAAAATTTAACAAAGAAAAATAGATTCATATGACATAATATAATTATTTTCCTTTTTTTATTTATTTTCATTTACTTCTATGTTCATTTAGTGTTTTTTTCTTCTCTTTTGTTCTTCTCTAATTTCATCTTATTCTTCAATTAAAACTAATATATTAAAATTTAATAGAGTGAATCTTTTATTATTACTGATAAATAAAATTATTTAAATGATACATAAATACTATAATTTAACATATTATATTTAAACAATATTATATTATAAATTTACAATATTACGAATATTATGGTTATCTTATAATTATTAACAACCAATTAAGTATTTATTTTAAATTATTTTTTTAATAAGTAATTTTTAAAATTACCTGATCTAATTAATTATCATAATTCAATTTAATTATAATTAGATTAAATTATTAAATAAAAAGTATATTTAAATTATAAATATTTGATATTTTTTATTAGATGAATAATTATTATTATGATAAAATAAATTTAAATTAATTATTTACTGTTAAAGTAAATAAAATTATTTATCGTCATTGTACTTTTAAATAATTAGTTAATATTTTTTTAATTTTATGGTTGATTTTAAAATATTTATTTTAATATTTTTATTAAATTTTAATATATTAATTTAAGTAGAAGTATAAGAGAGAGAAGAGAGAAATAAATAAGAGATTTAAGATAAAAAATAAAAAATAAAGAGTGAATATGGAAAGAGAAAAAATAAAAATAAAAAACTGTACGAAGAAAGAGAAAAAAAAAAACTAGTTAAGTAAATATATGGATAGAGATTCTTTGAATAATTTTCTAGTAATTATTAAACTCTGGTTTATTTTCGTAACAAATACGATTTAAATTTCTATATTTATAATGTTTGATCATTTAATAGGTCCCAACCACTATTGTTAAATAACTATTAATTACGTGTTATATGAAAGATTATTATTGGTCCTTGGTGCTAGAAAAATTATAGCTTCTCTTTTCAATGAATTTTTTTTGGAGTGACTACTTTAAGCAAATCATTTCAGTTTTAGAGCTAATAATTAATAATGCATCACGAACAATATAATTTAGTAAGCCAACCTACCATCTTCTCAAAAAAAGAAAAAAGAAAAAAAACTTTCTTATCATAAAATTTGGATTTGTTGTATTGTTAATATAAAATGTTATTAATATATATATAAGAAGGAACAATAATAAAAAAAACAATATATTGCAATAAAAAAACACCTTTTACATTGACATTACATTAAATCAAATTACTACGAAACAATAAAATTTTGAAATAATTATTATAAAAATATACAAACTTATTTTACTTGACAACAACTTTTTAATCAGATGACAATATAAAAAGCAGTAATCTAGGTATTCATATGTCAGATATTGGTCTTAAATAAAACATATGTATTTAGTTATTCCTAAAAGACATTATATATAATTTAATAGTATTGAATATCATAAGCTAACCATAATCTATCAAATAACTCAACAAATAGTGCTATTAATTAGTATATATGCTAAAACACTATCAGGAGGATGGGAAAAAATTGAAAAATAATTAGCACTGTGTGATCTCTTATAAATTATGAGTAATTTTTTTCCAACTTTTGGTGTCTTTAATTCCATTTTCATTCTTATTAACAGCATGTAGTTGGTAATAAGTTTCATAGATGCGTTGGTTATTTATGAATTCTATGATTTGTGTGGTGAGTGTTGTAAATGATGTTCCTGCTATGTATTGGTGCAGATTCCATATGGGAAGACAGCCACTGATAATTATAGCAGATGCAGAGCTTTGTAAGGAAGCTGGAATTAAAAAATTCAAAGATATTTCAAACAGAAGTATTCCTTCTCCAATTTCTGCTTCTCCTCTTCACCAAAAGGGCCTCTTCTTCAGCAGGTATATATATGCAGATTATCACTCACATGTTTTCAACAACAGTAATGTTATTCCTGCAATTTTGTTCATATATACTTTCTTTATTCACTTCATTTTCATGTAAAAGAAGTACTTTTAACTTTTATTTTCATTCAAATAAATATAAACATAGTTTAGAGAACAAAAAATGCATGTAACAACAACAGTTTTGGAATGATTATTTTAAAGAAGTTTTAAAAGGTTTTTATTCCTCATCACATGGCACGTGGTAGTGCTTTTTTTTTCTTCAAAAATTGAATTATTAGTCAGCTATGATTATTTTCCTCCAAATATTTCTTATAAACAAACGAAGAATATAGTTATGAAAATCTTAAAGGTTTAAGAATTACCGAAAACTTTAGCTATGAAACTGAATAAGTTGTGAATAATATGCATTAGTGAACAATATAATTTACTCTTTCTATATGTTAAATCATGTACAAGATTTTTGAAACAGCCCAAAAAGTTGACCGATGAGCAAATAAATAGAAAATTAAAAATTAAAATTTGAAGGAACAAATCACTATAACATGCATTAACAACGGTTGATAATATGTAGTACCAATTGCTTACTGAGAGAAATTATTAACTACGAGAGTCAAACCTAAATGCGTAAGACAAAGTATTTGATTCCATATAAATTGAAACTATAACTCGTTAATTACTCACTCAAGTGTAAAAGAACAATATTTTTCTTGTTAAAATAATCAATTAGTGCGTGTAATTTTCCTCGTTCTACGATGAAGATAGATATATTAAAGTATAGCTTAATTTTCCATGAATAATTTATGGTTGTTGTTGTGAAGTAAAATTTAGATGATGCATATTACACAGAAATGAGTGAGTGAGATGAAATTTTGATGGTTGAGCGTAAAACTGTAAAAGTCATTGTTTAGAGTATGGTTCTGTAGTGGTCCACTAAGTTGAATATCATTTTCTTTCTCTTTTGTAATCATTAACCATGAAATTCAGATGTTAAAACCATGTACCCGGTATGTTAGTGCTTCTCTAAAACTATTGCATTTATAGTCAACCATGTAAAATAGTCAAATAAACAAGTTCTAATTCCAATCAACTATCTAATCTGGCAACTGTGCAGAGACTCACAATGGTCTACCATGAGAAACACTATATTGTCAATGTACCAACCATCATATTTATCAAGATTAGTGCCAATGATGCAGTCTTTCATAGAATCTGCGACCCAAAACCTGGACTCTCAAAAGGAAGACGTTGTTTTTTCCAACTTGTCCTTGAGACTTGCTACTGATGTGATTGGACAAGCAGCATTTGGTGTGAACTTTGGACTTTCCAGACCTCATTCAGTTTGTGATTCTATCAAGAGTGTTAACAGTGACCATACAAATGACAATGAAGTATCGGATTTCATCAACCAACACATATATTCCACTACACAACTTAAGATGGACTTGTCTGGTTCCTTATCCATTATACTGGGTCTGCTTGTGCCAATACTTCAAGAACCATTTAGGCAGATTCTAAAGAGAATTCCAGGAACCATGGACTGGAAGATTGAGCGTACAAACCAAAAACTAAGTGGACGTCTTGATGAGATAGTGGAAAAAAGAATGAAAGATAAGAGCCGAAGTTCAAAGGATTTCTTGTCTCTCATACTTAATGCTAGAGAAACAAAAGCAGTTTCAGAGAATGTATTCACACCCGATTACATCAGTGCTGTTACTTACGAGCATCTACTTGCAGGTTCAGCAACCACGTCCTTTACCTTGTCTTCTGTTATCTATTTGGTTGCTGGACATCCTCAAGTCGAGAAAAAATTGCTTCAAGAGATAGATGGATTTGGTCCCGTAGATCAAATTCCCACTTCTCAAGATCTTCATGACAAGTTTCCTTATCTTGACCAGGTTTGTTAAACTAAACACAAAATCTCATACAAGTTTTAAATTGCTACTTGTAAGACAAAACATGTAGATACATAAGAAATACTTCAACACATTTTTTTTACCGTTTTTTGAATACATTATTTTCTATTAATTCAATTTATTAAAACAGAGAAAATTTGCCAAGAAAAGAACATGTTATAAAGCATAACTAGTGATATTTATATATATTACTATGCTTTTGTGTACTTTATCTCAATTTACTTAGTGCAGGTGATCAAAGAGGCAATGAGATTTTACACTGTATCTCCATTAGTTGCAAGAGAAACATCAAGTGAAGTGGAGATTGGAGGCTATCTTCTTCCAAAGGTGATAACAAAAGTTGATTAACATTAACAAAGATACTTAAGGAAAGTCAATTCCATCGTGTTTAATTTTTTTGAAACAATTATTTTCAAAATCCACGTGTATAAATTTGATTTAATTTATAAAAGGATTTATGCATTTTATTTTTCAAAATCATTTCTTTTTCTTTTGCTAAGACTGCTTGATGAAAAGTTAATCTTGATTTTATGTAAAAAGAAAAACTCCCTCTTGATGATGTCCAAAGACTATATGTTGGGGTGTACATTCACTCACAAACCAGTCATAAATTAACTATACTTTATCTGTGGAGTAGCTAAATCTGGTTTTATATAAGCAGGGGACTTGGGTGTGGTTAGCACTTGGAGTTGTAGCAAAAGATCCCAGAGATTTTCCAGAACCAGAAAAGTTCAAACCAGAGAGGTTTGACCCCAACTGTGAAGAAATGAAACGAAGGCATCCTTATGCTTTTATACCATTTGGAATTGGTCCTCGGGCTTGCATTGGTAAACAATTTTCCCTGCAAGAGATAAAGCTTTCTCTCATTCATTTATATCGGAAATACTTGTTTCGGCATTCGCCCAATATGGAAAACCCACTGGAACTCCAGTACGGGATAGTCCTTAACTTCAAGCATGGGGTCAAGCTCAGAGCCATAAAAAGAACATACAGTTGCTAAGCAAACGGTTATGATTATTCCTATTCTATAGAGCAGATTTCAGATGATTTTATCATACAATGTTGAGTGTGTTAACTAATAGAATACCTTGAAAGAGTGTGTTACCAGGATTATGTAATGAAGTTTTACAGAGTTCTGTGTCTTAATAAATATCTGCTGGGGATACCTCCTACAAGATTTTGGATGGCATTATGATTTGTGGGAAATATTCTTTAACAAAAATCAGGGTACAAAGTCCTTCTAAACGTGCTTAAGTAGTTGATTTTATCCGGATAAGCCTCTTAGCCCCGAGTAATATCAATACCCATAAATGAACAATTTTACAAATGGAGACCCCTCACAAGTATTATCAAACATAAGGTACTTCTAGCTAGCTAAGTCAATTTAAATTCATGGAACAACAAGATGTTGAACTTCTTGGGAAAAAATAATAATAATAAATACACAAAGATGTTGAGCTTCCACCACATTCTCATATGTAGTAGTAAACTGAGCCTTTTCCCCTCTCACCGTGGCCTCACTGAGCTCTTGTCCACGTGAAGTGGCGTAGAAGAGTTTATTGAAGGGTCAGAACCTGCAGTGCTTTTGGAATCTCCATTAGAGAAAACCGCTGCCCTCTTGAGAAATTGAAACTCATCCATGGACTGTTGCCTTTGAGCTCTATTATACACATGATTACTACTTGTCTTTAGCTTTGCCTTTGTGGACTGAGTCAGGTTCATGTAATTAGGCCTAGCAACAACATTACCATTACTATCCTCAGTCCTGTCACAAGTGTTCCCAGACATTGGCGTTGTAGATGTACAAATGGAAGAAGATGCAGAACTCTCATCATATCGAAACTCAGAACTTGGACTTGAGGGCCTAGCAGAAACCCTTGTTGTCATGTTGTTCTTCTTGACTTTGACTAAACATGGTTTGGAATTAGAGCTGACAAAGGATTCCTCAAACTTCTTTGGAGGTGGGGTTTTATCTAAAAAGGCTTCTGCCTGAGATTGTTCCATCAATCTACTCTCCCAAGGCTTGGCTGCCATCCAACGCTCCAACCAGTTCCACCCCCAGTTAGCTTTGTTAATCTCATGACTCTTCAGAGAGGAAAAAGTGCCATCAGTTCGTGAATTACTTGGGGTTGATCTGCATTGCTGGAAATATATATATACACAATGTTAAACATCTTTCTTAAAAAGGACAACAGAAAAAGCGGCATAGTCTCAACATTGTTATATCTTGCTAAGGAGAATCAAGTCGAAATACTTGTTCTCATGATTTTAAGTAAATATTTACGTATATGGCGTCAAAATAACTTAGTAATTTTTTATTTAGATAAAAAAATTACGTAAACATCCAAAAACACATCACTATTTCAAAATCAATTATAACAGAACCAAAATCATTTTTTTCAAAACTAATTTTGCAAAACTAACCCAATCAAACTCAGTTGCATTTACCTTTTGAGCAAGAGAGTAAGCAATTGCTCTTTCCCTTTTGAAAGCTCCTTCTTGCCTCATCTGTATCTTTGCTTTAACGTCCTCCAACGTCCCTCTGCTGTCACACCATCCTTCCTGCACATTCTGTTAGACACAACACCACAACACAAAGAACAAAAACACAAGCTTGCATGAGTGAGTTATGATACCTCAGCTTGCTTCAAAAGTTCAAGCTTACTGCGCCTTTCATTAAGCATGTTCTGCACAGCTTGCCCCTCTATGGACATCCTCACACGACGAGCTCTTACACGGGCCTGAACCCGTACCAAGGCTTGCATGCACCTCAATGTCACTGCAGCTTGTTTCCTCACCTGTCTCCCCCGCACAAGAGCTTGAATCCTCACCACTCCCTTCAATGCCCTCAAAGCCCTTCTTGCCTACAATCATATCCACACAACTATTCATACCAACTCTCTCCTATTTCATTAAAGATCCACACATATACCAATGTCACAGTCAAAAGTAGATTATATAAGAGATATAGCAGGTTTGAAGTTGAGTTAGACACAAATCTGTTAACTAGTAATGTGGCATCTTTACACTATATTGAAATGTGGAAATGATTATTAGAATGAAGATCTATACCAAGAAGGCACGGAAAGCAGTTTGGATTCTTATAGTGGCCCATTCTTGTTTGACGAGTCTGAAATCCTTAGGTGGAGCTCGAACCACAGTCGCTACTGCGGCTGTGTAAGCATCTGCTGCTACAAGAGGTGGAGAATCAGACCCTTCAGAAGCTGCTTTCTGGTGGTTTCCTTTGAAACCCTTCCAAGAGCCCATATCCCCAGAGGAACTCCTCCATAGCCTCCACTTCTTGCTCTTGCCACCCTCTTTCACCTACACAAATAAGCCAAACAAGTCATGAAAAAAGCGTAGCACGCACTTTGAAGTGTATAGAACTAACTGACTTACATGTTCGTCTTTGTCTGTTTTCTTGAGTCCGATTAAAGCCTTTACCCATTTTCCTGAGGCACCCATGATGAAGCAGGTGTCGCAGTTTGGCTTTGCTTCTTTGAACGAAGCTAGTGTCTGTCAAATGAGCTCAAACTAAAGCCAAAGTTTTATTAAAACGCAACTGAGTTACAGCGTAGAAGGTTAGAGACAGAGAGAAAGAGAGAGAGAGAGAGAGGGTCGTGAAGCGATGTAAGTTGGCGTTGGGAAATTTGAAATTCAAAACGTGGAACGGACAAAGTGGGGGTTGACGTTGTTGGTCCCGCAAGAAAGATGGAGGAATCGTTTGTTGTTGCATTGGAACAGTGGCACCACGTCACGTTGAGGTTCAGGGTTTCATGGGAGGTGGGGTCCAGTGGCTTTGTTGAGTGATATAATAATAAAGCCATAAAAAAAGGCACCAACCCTTTGGTCTGTATGTAGTAGTACCTCAAAAGTGTAAATAAATAAGCCTTATTTCTTATTCTTTTAATATATTCATCTTATTTTTTATTTTTACTTTATTATAGTAATATATAATCTTCCTATTTTAATTCTTATATTAGATAAGTATGACAGAAAAGATTAAAGGTCATGTCCATCACAAGACATTACATTTTATAATGATACAACCTTTTAGATGTCACATTATTATTTAAAATTAAAATTTTGATATTAAAAATCAAAATTATATAAATTTATGTAACGGAGATTAATAAAATAAAATAAAAATCATGTGTATGTTTAATATAAATTTGTAGTTAATTTTACATTGATTAGAATATTAATATTAATTAAAATAATAATAATAATAATAATAATAAGATGGAGATATTAAAGAAATGGATATGAATAAAAGGGTGGGGCAATTGGCCAAACTGGTAGAGGACAAGGGATCTTTCTTGCAAACAGAGAGTGCAGGAGATGAAAGGGATCTGACACTTGGTTACTTTTTTATGTCATGGACCCTTCAGCCCCTACCTTTCTTATAACTTTTTTCTCTGTTACTGCTATTTTTTAGAGGCAGGGGAAAACAACCTTACAACAGGAATGAGAGTAAAATCAAATTCGGGTATTAATGAGAGTGGTTTGTAGAAATGAGAGTAACATTTGGGTATTACATGTTTTGTCTTTCTCGTTTGGTGTTGAGGATGATTCCAATGGATGAGCGACAAGTTGGAGAAATAAAGCAGTAGTAGTAATTCAAAATTCAGAAAAATGTACAATTCGAAATGCGATGACCAGTAATTTCCATCCTCTGTGTTTTCGATAACAGTGAAGTCTACTGTTCTTAGGAATCCAAAGACAATCCCAGAAGAAACTCACATAAACTACTGAATAATAAAATGCTGTGTTCCACTCGCTGCATAAAGTCGAAAGGCAAATTTGAACTGCTGGGGTGACTTCCAACACTTGATAATTTATTGGACAAATTAATTACTTTCTGTTGTCCTGCAAATTCTGAGGTTCAATTTGGTGGGAATCTTAAAAGTTGGATTTTGAACCCAAGTTACCTCTCTATTTACGCTTGAATTTTACACCTTGGCTCTGCAGTCATTTATATTTTATTGAGGTGGATCTCTAACATCTACTAGAAGAGTATGTTTTGATGATATTAATTTGAAATTAATCTGATTTTATGTGAATATAACATGAATTTTGTTTGAATAATAGTATATATATTAAAATATTTAGTTTCAACCTATAACAATATCTGAAAACTTCTTATTTTAAATTGATTTTGAATATGTAATTATTAAAATAGAAAATAATTATTACATTCTAAGGGATTTTTAAGACAACAGAATTGAAGAAAAAAAGGGTATGCAGTGGTCAACATTCCTCGGATGAATAGTCAAACAAAAGTTACGAAAAACATTATTATGTGATGAAAGAAAATCGAATAACAAGAGACAGATAGTCAACGGACGAGGTGACTCATATTTCTTTTTTTTTTTTTCATTTTGTTAGTATTATTTTTTCAACGTTCAACCTGTCTTGCCACTTCCTCACTGTTTACATTTTATAAAGTAATCATAAGATTCAATTTTTATTTGAAACAAAATAAATAACAAAACCAAACTTACCTATATTTTATTTATTTTTAAAACAGTAGTACAGTCGGGTAATGTTTTACTTCGTTGTCTCTTTAATTAAATAATTTAAAATTTAAAAGAAAAAGTCTTTTCTTTATCATTTTTCTCTCTCTACCCAAAGATAAGATTAGTGCTGAAATGGTTCAAATTGTTTTTACACATAAAAAAGTAAAGCACATCGTGAGACTGGCTCCTGTGACCGTGTGTGAAGTTGGGAATTGCGTAACTCGTAAATCTCACCCCACGATCATAAATATTCAGAATATAAAGAAGTATACAAGCGCTACCTCGTGCTTCGTTAAAGGCGTAAGTATGTCGGTACCATTGCAGTCATCTAAAATCATACCAGGTGAAAATCCTTCGAATGTGATTTAACAAGAATGTTCAAATAAAAACTTAAGCTATCCCTAGTTAGTGATATGGATTTGACAAATATGAGTTTGTTTTTATGCACAGCATATCTTAGAAATTTCAAGGGGAAATAACTACCTTTGTATTGCATTCATAGTTCGTATAAATCTATATTACATTTTAACGATAGACAAAAAATGAGTAGCACCATTAGGAATTTCCCACATATGACAAACAATGCATGTGGATACCATATGCAGTAATATTCAGTAAGAAATATTCCTGTAAAATTAAAGTCTCAATAAGGTGACATTGTAACTTGTTGGCAGGGGTGAGCACTGAGCAATCATGCTCCCGAAACTGATCGAGACTTTTGTTGAGGTGGTATGCCAAGCCAAGACTTCATCATGTCGTATGTGGTGAAACTAATTGCAGCTGAAGGAACAATCTGTGAAAATAGCGCGTAATGTTTAAACAATAGAACCAAAAAGATTGCACAGATGACATTGCCACCAAGAAAATGGATAGGAATGTTGAAGTTGATATTAGCATTTTTCAGGAATCGGCCACAGAGATGTCTCGTGAATATTTTTAAGGGTTTTTTTTAATATGGACATGCTTTACACAGTTTAAATGAGTACCAATGGCACAAGTTTCTGAAATGAATGCATAATGTGTGGTTTCTGAAGTTGAATAAACAGCCTTAGTCACTACCACCATCAACAACTATTATTTTCTGTCCTTAGGTTATTGGCAAACAGAAGAATTGGTGTCGAACAGGATTAGTCATATGGTTTACTATTCAACGGCATTAAATTCCCCATCTAGTTTATTCAACAACTCCATGAAAACCAATGTGAAGAAAGAGAAAGTTTTGTACACTTCGAGACAACAGAATAGTGAAACATATAAAATTTGGATATTGAAAAATTTAGTAAACAAGTGAAAAGGAAAAACAAATACATTTTTTTTCCATAAACAAAGCAAATATAGAAAATGTAATATGTGAAATAGCAATCTAAAACCAGATCACGTAAAGTTGGCTATGATAAGGTGAGCTTTACCCTTATATAGTTAATGCTTACGCCATGAAACAGCTGCCTCCATCCTTGATTACGAACAATCGTCCTAAGTCCATCAACGGTATTTTTGTATCTGACATTGTCATGAGTAGCATTTTGCAGGCTGCCAACCTGTACAAACAAATAGAAGATGAGTAAAAGCTTAAACAAAGAGAAATGTGCAAATATTATATAGTTGTAAAACTTGAATACGACCTAAAGGGCTCTAACATCAAATTTTATACACAGCAAAAAGATTGTAGAGCTAATTTGGCTAGACACTATCCCCCATCACCAGAAAAAAGGGAAATGTTTGTACAAACTGAGTTAGACAAAAAGTCATGCTTTAAGTACCTGCATCTGTCTCTTGACAACATCTAAAGGGTATGTTAAAGTCTGCCCAAACAATCCAGCTAGAGCTCCGCAAGAAAGACGCATCATAATGGAATTTTGATGTTCTTCTGGAACGTTAGTCTTCAATTTCTCGTACATGTAGAACTTTAAACCAGCATATGGAAGAATTCCAGTAAGGGTTGGTCCTGAGGAAAAGAAAGAGATGAGGTTTCTCATCATTGTAATTATGGATAAGGCAGTAAAATACAAGAAATCATAACTGATATATCTTATAAGAAAACATTTATCTCCACAAATATGTATTCCAAGAGTTCTCCACCACCACAATAACCAATTACGGTTGTATTGGTAGATCCAGTAACATACATACCTGCACCCCTATAAAGTCCACGAATTCCCCCCTCCTTATAGACACTTGTGAGCACACCTTTAATTCCATTATGTGTCGGTTGAAGTCCTCTCATACCATCTTTGATACTTCCTCTTGTGTCCACCACCTATAAAAATTTAAACCACAGGAATACTTAAAATGATTAGATTGTATACTACAAGCAATCATTTCCTCATAAAGTATCCCCCAATAACTAAAGCTAATCTTTATAAATTTTAATTGACTAGGATCACTAAGTTTATTTTGTGCAGATTTGATTTCAACATTAAAGCAATGGCATTCATACTTTCCTATATTACCTAGGAATTATCATAAACCATTAGGGATGGCACCATATAAGTCTCTCTCTTTAACCAATTCTAATTTAAAATATATGTATGTATATATATATATATATATATATATATATATATATATATATGAAGAAAAATACTACAAAACCGTTTATACATGCACACACAAGGATATAAAATCTTATCATTTTCAATATATAAGGACCTTGCAGGGGGTGAGAATGGTCCTTCTCAAATATGCTTTGAGGGAATTTTTCTCCCCAAGCTGTCAGGGGGAATCTCCAAACTTGCAGCCCAAATGAAGCAATCCCCACGAAAGTCCCCAAATGATAGGAAAAATTGTCGTCCAATGGACCATGTGTATTGGAATCAAGATATCATGTTTCATTAAGCCATCCTGAAGCATTCTATGAACACCAGAAAAGTTTTCTTAGTCTCTCTTTGAATAGGTAGAAGTAATTTTAACATTAAGTATTTTTCACCTATATTTCTCTATTTTTTTTTTCCTGGTGGTAAACCTTCCTTAAACACGAATTTAACTTTGACTAAATGAAAAAAGAGAAACAATGGTCTCTCAATACTTCCAGCATATGTGCATATGTTAGAGGTACAAGACTATTTCAAATGTTCAAATCAGATCACTACCTGGTAAGCAAGTTTGGTACGAGCCAGATCCAAGGGGTAGGTACATAAAACTGACGTTCCCCCAGCAGCAGAGCCTGCTAAAAGATCAATAAAAGGACCCGAACCTAACACTGGATAATTATTCAAGATCCAACTTTTGTAGCGCTCATATGTCATAAAATGCAAGGCTGCATATGGAACAATGCGGATAACACTAGCTCCATTTCCCCTGAACCAACACATAAACAAGATTCACAATGCATAATTTGAGGGGGTCAAAGAACATGTTATCCAATTAGAGTCTTACTTATATAATCCATGAAAACCTTCACGCTTTACTAATTTATTTAAAGATTGATACACCCCAAGAGAATGAAATCCTGGGGTCCTTGTCTGTAGACAAAATAAATAAACATTAACGAGGAACATACACCAATTAAGAACATTCCGTACGAATGGCAAAAAGAAAGCAACAGTATCGTATATGATGTACATCTAACAAGTAACAACAAATGTAACTTAAAACCAGACTAAAAACAAAAACCCTTTAAACAAGGGGCAGTAACCTCTCAAAGTCACTTGATGAGTGTAGAAATCAATGACTTCAAGACTCCAGCTAGAGGCACAAAGAGAATAATTTAATTGATAGCCGAGGCAACCCAAGATAAAAGATAATCCCTCTTTACACTTTTAAAATTCTCTCCCCCTTCCCTTATCTTTCTATTCTAGATCCGATATACCTAACAATATACCTAACAACCGTATAGCACAAATTTAAATTACATATTACTCTTGTCTAGTATCATCATTACATCATAAGATATTTACCTCCGATAGATTTCAAGATATGGATATTTAAATTAATTAACATCAGACTTAACAACGCGATCCGATCATGTTAGCTTTGAATCATGTTCCACTTGAATAAGTGAAAAAAAAAAAAAAAAAGACGAAGAAGAGAGATAGAAGAGAAAGCGTGGTGAACCTGCCAAAGTATCTTGACTCGTTCGAGAGGTGCAACAGTGGTCTTAGAAAGCGCACCAGCAAAGCCTCCGGCGATTAGCTCCTTGGCATATACAGGAACGCCATCAAAAGTAGACTCTTTCCTCTGAATGGATGCATTGTCCACGAAACCAGCAATAGTAGACCCTTGTGAAGAATCCATTGATAATTAAAAAAAGAGAATTGAATTGTTATGAATCAGAATAACACTATCCACTCTGTAGCTCAGAAAACTCCTTATCCCATCGGCGTTTGGCGAAAGACAAGTGGGTGTGTTGCAATGGCAAGGAATTGGGTGTGTTCAGAATCACAAGCCAATCCCCTTCAGGAACAATAAGAGACATCAACAGCAGACAAGAACAAACAAAGGGACCCTTTTGGATTGCAACAAGGAAGAAGAATTTACACGGAAAGAAAAGGGGTTGTTTGGCACAAGGAACATAATCCCGTGAATCTGAGTGGAATGAAAATAAAAGGGTGAACAGAAAACCCTTCCTTTGGTGAAAAGGGGAAAAAGGAGAACAGGTATGTGATGTGGAGTTGGGGAGGATGAAGGAACAGACACCCGTTCTCCTTTGAACTGAATTAAGTTTTGGGTTTTCTTGTTTTGATTTGATTTTGATTCAATGACCCCTCTTTCTAGATTTCTATTCTCTCTTCTCTTCCTTGCAATTGCCAGTTTGGTCAACATCTCACGTGGTATGCCCCGTCAACCATTTATCACATGATTTATGATTTTTTCCACGTGAATTTATAAAGGAAAATATATCTACTGTTACATTCCTTTTATTTTTTTAAATAAAAAATAACAGCAAAATTAAATATGTTTGTTTCTCAATTCTATTAATTATCAACTATCAACTCATTATTTCTCTAAAAACTGTATATCTATCAATTATCGTTAATTATACCAGATTAATTCTTTTTCATCCAAATGTGGTTGAAATTTGTTATTATATTTTGAATTGATAAAAATACATAATTATATAATTAAGATTGTAACAATTCTATTTTGTATAATTCAACAATCAATTTATCAAATTTAATGAATTTTTTTATATTTGTGAGGATTAATTATTAAGTGATAATAAAATAAAATAAAATATTTTTATCATAATATATTTAATTAGATAATCCATTATGGCTTCAATATTTTATTTACGGTAATATTATATATTTTGATGGGAATTGATTGATTTTATTGATAGCATTACTATATTTTTTGACTCGAAATTTATAAAATACTCAAATGAGAGAATCTCACAAAGTTTATTTTCATAACCTAACAAAAGTATATATATATATATACACACACACACACACACACATATATATATATATATATATATATATATAGTATTTTGTTGTGTATTTATAAAATAAATATTTATTATATAATTGAAATTTATAATAAATAATTTTTTTCATATAAAATTTATAATAAATAAATATTTTGAAGAAATAAACTATTTTTAGATTTATAATAAATAGTATATTTTTTATTCTTTATCTGTGTTACTCTTTTTAAACAAATATTGAAATCAAAATTAAAAGTAAAGATAGTATAAAAAATTGATTAAAAGATAGATGAACTTCAATTTGATATTAAAATTATACAGAGAAATTTAATTGGTGCACCTGAATTTTATATATATATGGAACAATAATAGTAAAAACACTTATATTTGGACAGAAAACTATAAATAACAACACTGAAATTAAGATTAAAATAGGCAAAATTTGAAATTAAAAATATATAAGAATTTAAATTAAAGTATCACGTAAACATTTAATATGTAAAATATTAATCTAAAAAAATAAATTTATAAAATATTATGACCAACCACTGTTGTCATCGTGATTAATATATTAAATTTACATTTATTATGTTACTATATTATATCACTATTTGAAACATTTTACTATAAAAACATAAACAAAATACATTACGTCTTATAGTGTAATGTTTTAATTTTAATATATTAAAAATCAATTTTAAATATTTTTTTTCATTAATAATTTTTAGAGTGAAATAGCATCAATTAAAAAGAAGAAATCGTGGAACAAAACTTTTGAGAAAAGAAAAAAATAGTTAATATTAGTGGTTATTTTGAAATACAAGCTTAAGCTCAATTTGGTTGAAAAAAAAAAAAAAACTCAAATTGAGTTTTTTGTATTATTATTAAAAGCTTCATTTTTTTTACTGGAAAAGAAGCTTAAGCTCAATTTGATAGAACATCTTCCTTCTCAAAAAGTCCATAATTTACAATATTTTACAATCTGTTCTACATGCAATATGTTCATATATCACAAGAGTCCATAATTTTATTACCCACAACACAATCACCAGACATAGAAATCGCGAATAGCTACAGCAGCAGAAAAAATGTTGGTATGCACTCATGTGCTAACTATCTCAGAACAAGACGAACAGGACAGAGCTAGGGTTTTGATGCAAAAATTAAGCCTTGCTAATTGTTTCATCTTGGGTTTGGATTTTGGGTAGTGCATCAGAATCAAGGTAAGAGCTTTGTCTAGAAACGGACATGACGCTATGCCTTTTTGTGTGGTATGCTGAGATTCTCTTTCCCCTTCCTTCAAATATCACAGGGTCATCCTCTTCATCAGGGACACATTTTTCTCCTAGAATAATGGTTTTCATCCAAACAGAGTCCTCTGCTTTCAACTTTGGCCCTTTTATTTTCTCCTCCTTTTGGTCCCAATTCCTTGCCACCGACAAACTCCTTGGCATTTTGATGCTCAGACTCAACGGTGCCTTTCGTTCAGAAGTCACTCTTTTCATTCTCTCTGAGATAAAGGGATCCTTCGGGAGTTGTTGCAGTGCTGGTGGAAGAGGTAACTCTTTCTCGTTCTTGTTTTTATTATTATTTTCATTCTCGTTGTTATTTTCATTCTCATTTTCTTCTGCGTTTGATGTCTGGGAATTGTCCGATTCGTTGGACATTTCAATAGGATCTGTTAATGGTGGTGTTGGTGATGCCGCCTTTTTTCGGACGCTACACAGGGCTGTGATGATGGCCATGCTGGCGGCCAAACCTGCAGCGAAGAATGACAAACATATAACAGGATGGTGTATGACTGAGAGGTTTTCAACTGGGATTCTTCGTCCCATGACAAACACGAAAATTGATTCTTCTCTGATTACAAAACAATACTGACTATATTATGAGGACTTTCTTTTCCATGCAAAAGTCCCAAGAGAAAATACAAATTGGAATGTCAAATACCTAGTTTTGGGGTTTCTTCATGGCTTGAATTTAGGGGTTGGTGACGGGGAAAAGAGAAACATAGAGATAAGAAGGCCCAACCGTAGATGTTTTTTTTCCATTTTTGGCAAATGTGCCAGCATTGTTGTTGCCTCTCTAAACCCTAAATATATCACCCTCTCCTTAGAAATCAAGGAGGGAAAAGTTAACAAATTTAAAATTAGAGATGGGCTTTATAATGAGGTTTGATCAAATATTATAATAGTTCAAAATTATTTAAAAAATTAAATTATAAATAAACTCAATAAAAAAGCTAAAAGTTATACTTTAATTATTAATTTCATTAAACATTTATTATTTAATCAGATGACTTATAAAAACTTTCAGTTACCAACCTTGAGTTTTCATCTAGTTTTTCAGTTAGTTTTGTAAAATATTACCAATAACCAAAAGTTATAAACAAATAGAAGAATCATTTAAACATGAAATATCGATTAATAATATCGAATCACATAACAAAATAAAAATAATTCTGTAGAATTTAAATTAGTGTTTGTTGTTTTGTCGTATAAAACTAATCAATTATCACCTTATGATAATTAAATATTTGTTTCGTTTACCTTTAATTTTTACATTTTAATTTTTTAAAATTTAATAATTATATTTTAAAATTAGTTTCAGACAAAATAGAAAGACATTTACCGTAAAAAAATACATTAGAAGTTAAAAGTAATTTTAATAATTATAAAATTTGTATATATTTATATAGGAGAAGTGAATGATGTAATACAAGATACAAATATATTAATCAATAACAAAAACAGATTTTTTTTAATTAACATTTTAAAAACTAAAAATTAGTTTTAAAACAATAAACAAATTCGTCCTTAATATTTAGATAGAATTAAACGTATTGATTCGAGTATCTATTTTCTTCACTTTAATATATTATATTTTTATTATTATATTATTATTTGAAATTGTCAAAAACAGTTGTATATAAAAATAAATTGTCAATGTATCATTATTTTAGAAGAAAGTAAATGGTGGGAACAGAGGTTTGAGGTTTGGACGACAATGAGATCGTGTTCATTTTTTTATGTTTTCTTTTCTTTCACCCTTCCGTAGGCTATGTTTAAAGAAAAAAAAACGGTGAGTAATTTCGTCTTGTTTAATTTATAAGCAGGATAAATTACATATTTCAATGGTTAAAGATTATCCTATCATTTCCTTAATAACTTTTTTATATATATTTTTTAAAAATATATTTTTAATTATATAAATAATTTTTAAATTAATAAATTAAAAAATATTATATTTATATATTAAAATAATTAATTATAATTAATAATTTAATTTAATTAATTAATTTTTATAATTTTAATTATAATATATTTATATTTTTTAATAATATAAAAAATATTTTAATTATAATAATTTTTATTTTAATATATAAATAAGTTTTAAAACAAATTAGTAAATTCGTTCATCCCATCTCACCCCATATTTTTTTAGATAAATTTATCCGTCAAATTTAACCCTATCCTTAACTTTTTTTTTTGTTAGGAAACTAATTCTTGAGAATAACTGAGAAATTGAACCTCTTTTTCCTGTGAGAACCAATTCAATTCAAATAATCATGTCAGTTTAAAGGGCGTGTAGTTGCTTTTAACACAAACAAAACCCAGTCTTTTTGTGGTCATAAATAACCAAAAACAAAATATTTTGGAACGGCTGACATACGAGAGGATGAAACTTATTCGATACCTCTCACCAACGATCATAAATGTTTGGAAAATTTTGTGCACTTTCTGTTTTTTTGGAAAATCTAACAAGGATGATTAATTAAAGAAGAAAAAAAAAACACATTCAAACAAAAATTAATAGTTTTACAATAAAACCACGGAAACAGAACTTCTCAAAAATCACATATCAACATGGTTGAATAATAATTTTATTACAACGAATGATTAAAGACAACTTGTCATAGTTAAAACTTTTGAACTTACCAAAAAAATCTTTAACAACCACTAGTTGACCATGATAGAAAAGAGTTTGCACCTCATCCACAATCATTTCACCCCTTTTTTTCCTATCATTTCAGAGAAAATTCGAGTACTTTTTCAAATATCACCATCCATATAATCATATTATTGCGTGGATAGAAGATGAGAGTGCGTACGAGAGACACTAAGAAATTCCTTTAGAATAATCAATTTTAGCTTCTATTCACGAGAAGATAATCTAACTCTTAAAACTGGAATTAATGGTTATGTACTAGTACTAGTACATATAGGAATTAACTATGTGGGTTAATGAATGACATAGATGATGGTCATAGAATATAATAGAATAGAACCCTAAAATTGGGTATCCTTGCAGTGGCGATTAATAGTAGTACTGTGTATTAAAGTTTTTACAAAGCCGACAAAAAGACGTAGGATTGGAAAAGAAATAAGAGCATGTTGTGGGGTGGGCGTGCTTTGTTCACCAAAAATGAGTCCCCGTCTTATCGATTACTCTTACATGCTCTATTTGTCTATTTAGGATCACCCCTTCAAAGAAAGTTTCTGGCTTTTCCTCATTGCTCATAAAGTTATTAAAGTAGTAAAACATAATATATAATCTTGATCCTCGTTAAGGCTTCCCTTTTTTTTTTTATTTTCTTTGCTCTTTCAATGGATGGTTTTGCTTTGAATTGAAAACCCGCAAAGAAAGCATCTATTTTGAATGGAGGAAGGGTACCTCAGAAGCAAGTTCAAGACCGTGTGTGTCTTTTGTGGTAGCAACTCCGGCAATCGACAAGTCTTCAGTGACGCTGCGATTCAATTAGGGAATGAACTGGTCCGTGGTTTTCTTTTGCATCATTCTTTATTATCATATTATTCTCTTTTTTTTCTAAACATTTGTCTATAAAAAGAATTTTATATGGTCTCAGAGCACCTCCTCTGTGTTGCTTTGTTCACTTTTGATATTATTCTGTTATGCATAACTGGTGCTCAACGTAAAGAAGCTGTGGTTTACTATGCTTATACTTGATGATGAATTTGTTATGTCTCTGGAAAAACACTGTTTTTTCATTTGTGGGGTGAGTCTTTCTTTTCTCCTTTTTCCTGTAGGTTTAACAATTTTATAAGAATGCATTCTGTGGCCTGCATATACAGACTGAAGAATTCTTCATCATCATTTTGTTTCCGTTTTTTGTTTCTTTATCACATGGTGTGAATTACAGGTTAAGAGAAACTTAGACTTGGTGTATGGTGGGGGCAGTGTTGGGCTGATGGGCTTAATATCTCAGAGAGTGTATGATGGAGGCTGCCATGTCCTAGGGTATGTGCATATAAAAATAAAATTACTATTTGGCGTCACTGATAATTGATCACATTGTCTCATCATTTGTTTGTTTCTTCTTCACATTTTCCCCTCACTCCACGTACAGGATCATTCCAAAAGCTCTCATGCCTCTCGAGGTATTTGTCCTACCACCTCAGCAATATCTTTAACAATCTTTAATCATTTTGTTTATTTTTCTGTCCACGTGCAGTTAATTTAATCAATTGGTTTATTTATTCCTGGGATTTAGTGTTATGGTTATTTGATTACCAGCAATGCAGTGGAATAAAACTTCTTAAATTGTTGCAGGACTAACACTTAGTGTTTATTTATATTGACCCCTTGGCCATGGAAATAATTTATAAATGCTTTTGAAGGAGAAAATATGATGAATGAATTATTACAATTTTGACAGATAAGTGGTGAAACAGTAGGTGAAGTAAGAATTGTTTCAGATATGCATGAGCGTAAAGCTGCAATGGCTCAAGAAGCTGATGCATTTGTTGCTCTCCCTGGTAGAAACCTCAACAGCTCTCAAATAATTTTGAAAAATAATTGATGATTTCTTGTACACGTGAATGCCACTGAAATTGTTCTTAATTGTATGGAAATATTTTTTGTTCTCTTGGTGTTTTGGATTGTTGTATTGATTATGTAATATGGAGTCTCACTGTCCTAATAATTAGGAGGATATGGAACAATGGAAGAGCTGTTGGAGATGATAACATGGGCCCAACTTGGAATTCATAAAAAACCGGTAACATAGTATTTTCACTGTGTAGTTCAAAATCCTTAATGTAACAAGCAAATGCTAACTCTCAAAATCATCCTGCACAGGTTGGTCTACTGAATGTTGACGGTTACTATAACTGTTTGCTTGCATTATTTGACAATGGTGTTAAAGAAGGCTTCATCAAGCCTGGTGCACGGAATATTGTTGTCTCTGCTACTTCTGCCAAAGAACTTATGATGAAGATGGAGGTCTACTTTCAACTATCCATTTTCCCCTTACCCACAGATGCGTATAAATTTGTGTTCAAATTAGAGAAATAATCTTTGGAGATTAATGAATGGTAGATTGGTTTACTAGGGTCATGATTATTAAAAAAAAATACTAATACTGTACTATCAAAGTCAATTGCTCAGTTGAAGGGCTGCTATCTGAAGTCTAAATAATGCATAGACATAAGACTCTTTTCATGACTTGTAATTACTGGGACTAGTGAGAATAGATTGGAGGTGTTGTTTTTTTCACATATTCCTCCCCCTTAGGCACTTTTTTGTATTACAGTTGTCAAGGAGGACTTTGCTGCCTTAAGCACTTTGTTGGGTAATTGTTGTCATTTAGGACTTTTCTGCTTATGTGGCAATCGTAAACATGAAGGCTTATAGGATATGTGACTTTTTAAACTCTCAAAATGATCATAAACATTAATGATTTCAAAGGGTCCGTGTTTCCTCTTCTCTCTCTTTTGTCTTATTTCCTTAGGGGGAATAAAAGAAGTGTACAAATTACTGTGTTTGAAATGTAGCTGACTTTTCCTTTTTGCAGCATTACACTCCTTCGCACGAACATGTTACTCCTCATGAGAGCTGGCAGACGAAGCAATTAGGTAATTATCCAGATGCAGAGTGAGAGTGTTATTGATGGAAGGTTTTTCTCCAAAAATAGATTTATGATGTGATTCTTCATCATTTGAGATGTGTACAAGAGCCTGCATAGATGGGGCCATATGTTGTTTGTTACCTAAACTACCTTGTTTTTATGACTGGAGTGCTAATATATTGGTTTTGCTGCTTTTTCTCATGTTCTTTTCTTCTCTCATTTAATGATCAATTGATTCCCTCTGCTGAGATAGTCATATCTAGTTGTTACCACTCATTAAAGGCAAAAGTACTTGGAAATGGAAAGAGATGATAAGCATTTCTTGAGCAGAATTTCAGTTGTGCGTAATGGGTTGGCTCCACTTTGTAGTGCCTTCATCAACCTTACCACTCTTGTGCCAGTGCCACACTATTAATTTGACTCTTATTCTCTCTCTCTCTCTCTCTTTCATATTCAAAATTATCTCATCATCTTGTTTATTTAGATGATTTATTATTATATTTCCCTAAAATAGCAATTAACAAAGACTCTTGTACTCAGTTGCATGGATCACACAGTGTTATTTAACGTCTTTAAAGACAAAGTTTCAATAATGTTTTTTACGTCAAAATCTTTTTATCACTTTCTCTCAGAAACCATTATTATCTCTCTCATTCTTTATTCTTTTTGGAACAACGATATATAAACAATTCCATCTGCTTAACCTTCATCCAACAACTCTTTAATAATAAAAAAATACTAATAAACATATTATTATTATATTAATAATATTAATAAAGTGAGTTAGAGTTGGACTGTCTTTTTCTTTCAGTTTTTTTTTTAAGACTGAAAACTCTATAATCTACTAAACTTGTCGGTGTCTTTACACATGTCAAAACTTAAATCGATTTTCTGTTATATTTTATTCAACTGGTGTTAGACCAATCTCTAATTTCATATATAATTCTATCCTTCAGTAAAATTCACATTTTGAGTTCGGTAAATACTTTTCGATTACAAATAATCATTGCTGTGCTTTTACTTTTTCTTCATTCCACTTTTATATTTTATCTGCGACGTTATCCTTATTCTTTTCCCCATCAATTTATTATTATTGATCACAAATATTGAAGTTTAGACACTTGTAACCTGACATCTTTTTTCTATTTTTACTTTATCATCACTTTCTTCATGCTAAAATTACAAATATAATGAATAACAGGTATGTAATATCCTAAGTGCACTAACTTATTTGTATAAGTATGGCAAAAAAAAAAAAAAGTCTAATCTAATCTAACAAGAAAAAAAAAAATTACTTGTATATGAATGATGAATTAAGGCTATAGTAGATAAAATTGATTTGAAGTTACCACAGCTATCACTAGAGAGTTTTGATGAACAAAAATCACACCCCCACAAACACATGTTTATTTTGTACAGTGAGCTTTTGAATATGAAAAAAATTAGTAATATATATATTATTTAAATTTTTTACTTGACAAAATAGTAGAGATACAAGTTGTCGAAGTAACATTTTCATAGCTTGATATATCATAACTAGATGGATTTGAGATTGTTTGCTTGCATTCTTTCTATTACTTCTTTACGCAATCACAACTAAGAATGCAAGAAAAAAAAAGCTCAAAAAAGAGGTATGGGAAAATTAATTAATTATTAAGGATGGTGAGAGAATATTAATTCAAAAGTTATAAGTGTTCTACATATCAACATATTTAATGCATGATGAAAGGTTTTGAAATAGTAAAATTTTCTGAAATGAAAAGAATAAATGTTGATAGAATATAGCTGTATGTAGTATATTAACTATAGTTAACTGTAGCTATTAAGTTATAATCTATGCCTGCAACCCCTTTTTTGGTAAACTTTTTTTTTCTTTTTGAATTAACAATATTTCAAATCTTTCCAATGTTAATGGCGCAAACATGCTCACTTAAAGATACTGTCACAGAAACATATATTTCATATATTTCTTTCCTTAGTTAAGTTATCCCAAGTGAAAGTAATACAAATTGATGGGAAACAGACTCCAATGATGGAGTTTGAAAGAAAAGAAAATTATGGTTGAACTATGATAGGTCACAGGTCAAAGACCTATCAGTTTTCTTTGGCGCAAACCAGAAGTATTTTTTCCAAACATAATCTTCCAAAGTCTAATAAGATAACTGTAAAGAACAAGTACCTCACATGAGTATTCAATGTAATTGTATGTTTAGTTATTAAACTGGAATAATCCAAGTTAGTTGATCCATGCATTCGAATCTGTAGTAATACCTTCCAGTTAGTGTCAATCTTATCCAGAATATAGTAATATTACTGACATTAACTATAGAAATTGACTCTTGTATATGATGAATTGTGAGGGAACTATTGAACAGGACCTGGATTGTATGGCTCTTTGCCTTTGATGAGTCATGTAATTGGCTCTTGCACTGTCCTTTTGTGTCGGTTAAGCCCCTGAGATTGGTCAGGTCACGAGTGTCATGATGCCTAAGGGAGTAGTGTGAGCTTGGATTTTCACTTCCGCATCTTAGTCCTTGTGGTGGTGGACCAAGTGATATGGTTAAATCACAAGATAAAGCCCAGTGGAGAGTGCTATTTCTTCCCCTGAGGGGTCCCTCTTGCCTTCGTTCTTTCCTCACATAATTTGTTTGCTGTCATCTCCAAAAGTTTAACTGTTTACCAACCCTACTTTGAAAGGATTGCAGAGGCATTCAACTGCACATTTTGTGTTCTTGAGGTCCCTACCCCACTACCGTCTTTCACTCTTCATATTCAACAACCCCATGTCACACTATTCAGATAAACTTTTCCTCATCTTCAGATTGGCAGTGTGAACCAATGAAAGGGTAATGATATTGACGACACTACTTCCCTTGGCATTCAACATTCAATGCAAAGAAAAAAATCTTAAATGCTTGGGATGGAGCATGAAAGAAAATCCTTCTTTTCTTTACACCCTTTTAATGTGTCCACTTCATTTGTAGAATTGAGCATTGACTGTTGACCATATCATAAAAATAAGAAGCAATAATAACCACGTACTTGGGGTAGAGAGCACCTTGTTACAGTCCAGGATCGACAACAGTCCTGACAACTGACATGTGAAACCTGTCGAAGAAACTGTTGGGCAAACAGGGGGACCCTCTCCCCCCTCAAACCAAAATGCATATATATGGCAAAGCAAATTTTGAGAATTGTCGGGCCAATTTTTTTCTTCTAGAATCTCAATGTATGCACAGAATCATATGAAATAATGTACAAAGGTAGAAAAATGATATTAAAAAGTTTAAATGTGAAAAACTGTGTATCTAAGAAAAACCATAGTACTTGTGTTTAGAAATTGAGTTTTTCTAAAATACTTTATGTAACTTCTAATTGTTTTTTGATTTGGTGAAAATTCTTATTTTATAGAAGAGTAGGTTACATGGTCAAATATTAGATAGAAAGGAGTGGTAGTCCTTATTTTGTGGAGATTTATATATCTTTTATGCAAAAAGAAAACCTTTATGGTATTAATGACCAACTGAGTTTTCTTTCCTTTTGTTCACTGTTGAACTCTGTATCACTCTCTGTTCTTCTTTGTTTCTGGTTTTATACTACTTTGCTATTTTTTCTGATTTTTCAACATGGTATCAAGAACCCATTGATTTTAAGGGCCTGTGAGGGAGTGAAAATCAATTAGAAAGTTATATACAAACCAGAAAAAAATACCAATAACAGAGAATGACATCCAGTATCAGTTCTTTACCTCCACCTCCAATTTTTGTGGGAGAAAATTATGATTTGTGTGCTGCGAAAATGAGAACTTATTTGAGAGTACAAACTTTGTGGGATGTGGTGGAAAATGGAAGTAATCCAGCCCCTTTATCCAATGACCCAATTGTGGCTCAAATACGACTCCATAATGAAGAAGTGGCAAAGGATGGCAGGGCACTTGCCATCATGCATGCAGCAGTTCACGATGATGTTTTTATCAAGATATTGAATCTTGAGACAGCAAAAGAGGCTTGGGAAAAGTTAAAGGAGGAGTTCCAAGGTAGTGAAAGAACAAGGAGGATGAATGTACTGAATCTGAGAAGAAAATTTGAAGCAATCAAAATGAAGGAGTCTGAAATAGTGAAGGAGTTTTCTGACAGACTTTCTAAAATTGTTACTCATATTAGATTGCTAGGTGAAGAACTTAAAGATCAAAAAGTTATGGAAAAAATATTGGTGTGTCTTCGAGAGAGGTTTGAGTAAAAAATCTCCTCTCTTGAAAAGAATAAAGATTTTTCTCAGATTTCAGTTGCAAAACTGGTTAATGCTTTACTAGCTACTGAGCAGAGAAGATTTGTAAGAATGGAAGAAAATGGTGAAGGTGCTTTTGTGGTTAACACCAAAGGCAAACCTCAAGGTAGAAGTAGTTATGAAAAAAAAGCATTTTGGTGGGAAGAAAGACAAAGAAAAAAAAGAAGATGACGGCTACAAAAGAGGAGGTAGAAAAGAGAAGTTTCCACCTTGTCGTCACTGTAAAAAGACAAACCATACAGAAAACTACTGTTGGTTTAGGCTTGAAGTCAAGTGTAGGGCATGTAATCAGCTTGGTCATGTAGAAAAAGTTTACAAAAACAAGGCAAAGCAGCAAGGACAACAAACTCAAGTTACTGAGTACCAAGAATAGAGTGAGGAGCAGTTGTTTTTTGCTTCTTGTTATTCTGCAAGTAGCAGCAAAGAAGTTTGGCTCATAGACAGCGGGTGTATTAATCATATGACTCATGATGCTAGTTTTTTTAAGGAACTTGATCAGTCCTACTACTTGTCAAAAGTCACTATTGGCAATGGAGAAAATGTTGATGTCAAAGGAAAATGAGTGGTTGCTGTAGAAACTCCTACAGGTACCAAATATATTTCAGATGTTTTATTTGTGCCTAAGTTGAGTCAAAATCTTTTGAATGTGGGGCAAATGCTTGAAAAGAATTATGCTTTGCATTTTGAAAATATGAGATGTACCATATTTGATCCTTATGGATGTGAGCTAATGCCTGTCAAAA